GAAGGGCCACCCCGGTGATCCTGTCACCTCCCACCAGTCCCCACCTCCAACACTGGGAATTACAGTTCAACATGAGACTTGGTAGAGACACAGAACTGAACCATATCATGATACTCATTTTATTTATATTCTACAAAGTCAATATATTTAACTAACTGAAAAATTGGCTACCAGTGTGTGTGTGTATATGTATGTGTGTGTGTGTGTATAAGAGTGTTGGTTTTAAGTTGTGTTTTAATATTGTGTTGTTTTTGGCTAAACCTGGTGGCTCACACTTGTAATCCTAGCACTTTGGGAGGGGGAAGTGGGCTGATTACTTGAGCTCACGAGCTCGAGACCAGCCTAAGCAACATGGTGAAACTCTCTCTACAAAAAATACAAAAATTAAGGTCTAGTGTTATGACTCATGCCTGTAATCCTAGCACTTTGGGAGGCCGAGGTGGGTGGATCATCTGAGGTCAGGAGTTCAAGACCAGCCTGGCCACCATGGTGAAATCCTGCCTCTACTAAAAAGATAAAAAAATTAGCTGTGCATGGTGGCACGTGCCTGTAGTCCCAGCTACATAGAAAGCTGATGCAGGAGAGTCTCTTGAACCCAGGAGGCAGAGGCTGCAGTGAGCTGAGATTGCACCACTGCACTCTAGCCTGGGTGACAGAACAAGAGTCCGTCTCAAAATACAAACAAACAAACAAACAAAAACAAAAATTAGCCAGGCATTGCGGCATGTGCCTGTAGTCTCAGCTGCTTGGGAGGCTGATTTGGGAAGAAGGCTTGAGCCTGGCAGGCAGAGGTTGCAGTGAGCTGAGATGGTGCCACTGTACTCCAGCCTGGGCGATAGAGCCAGACCTTGTCTCAAATATAAAAAAGTATTGTTTTTAATTACTTATAATTTTAATTGCTTATAATTAAAAAACAGTAATTAAAAGGACCAAAAGTTAACTTTGCAGGTAGTAAATCTTAGCCTACTATACATACAAATCAGAAGGCCAAGGCAGGAGGATCGCTTGAGCCCAGGAGCTTAAGACCAGCTTGGGCGGCATAGTGAGACCCTGTTTCTGTAAAACAACTTAAAAATTAGCCAAGCATGGTGGCACGCCCTTGCAGTCCCAGCTGCTCAGGAGGCTGAGGTGGGAGGATTACTTGAGCCTGGGAGGTCAAGGCTGCAATAAGTCATGATCACATCACTGCACTCTAGCCTGGGTGAGAGAGCAAGACCCTGTCTCCAAAAATAATAACAGCAATAATCAGAAAGCAACACTGCATGTGAATAAAGTCAGCTGACCTAGCTGCCGGTGGACAGCCTTTGCTGTTTCGGAGACTCAGTCTTCATCCATTCCTGCTTTTGGTATTTGTTGACTGTGAGCTTTGGGCTGATCTAGGGTCCACGAAGAAGAAATGGTTCTTCCTCATCTCAGGCTTCTGTTATTTTTAGGTGTTATTTCTCTGCCGTGGTTACTGAATCCAACCCTACTTGCCTCTCTCTTCCACAAACTTCTTGCATGTGGTTCGTGGTACCCTTTTAAGTCTTATGATCTTATTTCCTTTTAACATATCACTTTCTTACTTTGCATGGAGTTTCAGCTGCAAATAGAGATTGGTGTTGTGTGAACCACCTGCCATCTTGAGCTAGAGATTTTCGAAGAGTTTGTTTCCTTGATTTTAACTTCCTCTTACATGGCTCATTATACTTGTTGAAATCTGTGAGATGGTTTACACCAAGTCTGTCTAAACCATAGCCTGTGGGCAGCCTGCAGCCTGGGATAGCTTTCAGTGCAACCTGACACAAATTCATAAACTTTCTTAAAACGTTATGAAAATTTTAGCTCATCAGCTATCATTAGTGTTAGTGTATTTTATATGTGGCCCAAGACAATTCTTCTTCCAGGGTGGCCCAGGGAAGCCAAAAGATTAGACATCCCTGGAAACTTTAGACGTATCAGGAATCATATAGCTTTTCAAAATCACGTATCTACACTTTTGCTAAGTTCTATGCTATGCAAATGACTGAAACTATACAAGGACTTACTTATCTTATAAGCTTGGAAGTGACATATTGGGTATTTGTGATTAAATTCTGAGACTATTCATTTAAAAATTGATATCAGCTCCTGGAATGTAACTTTTCCTTTCTTTTTCTTTCTTTTTTTAGATTTTTTGAGATAAAGTCTCACTCTGTTTGTCACCCAGGCTGGAATGCAGTGGTGCAATCTCGGCTCACTGCAGACTTTGCCTCCCGGGTTCAAGCAATTCTCCAGCCTCAGCTTCTGAGTAGCTGGGACTACAAGCATGTGCCACCGTGCCCAGCTAACTTTTTTGTGTATTTTTAGTAGAGACAGGTTTCACGTTGTTGGCCAGGCTAGTCTTGAACTCCTGACCTCAAGTCAAACACCCGCCTCAACCTCGAAAAGTGCTGCGATTACAGGCATGAGCCACCGCACCCGGATGCTTTTTCTTATTTCTCCATCACTTAAAGATAGAGGAATGAGAAAGGCCCGTTTCTTTTACATAGTAGTTGGACAAGATCTTAAGTACAGATCTCTAGTGGTTAAAACAAAACACAACCAATCTCTCTCTTCCTCTAGATACTTGGCTTTTGCCTAAATATGATTCATAAAGCTGAAGTGTTGCTAATCTTTAAATAATACCCAGGGGATATGATTACCCAACACGCTAATACAATTTAAGAGTAGAGTGATCCAAAGAAGAAGAAAATAATGTCTTCAAAAATGTTGCTATTAGAAATATTTCTTTTCTCTAAGGGAGGATGCAGGCTAAAGCATTTTGCATGTGTGTTTACTTTTATAAATTTTCAAAGTGATGAAGGAAGGAAAGTAGATTTCTTTTTCTTTTTTTTTTTCCACACAGAGTTTCACTCTTGTTGTCTAGGCTGGAGTGCAGTGGTGCAATCTCAGTTTACTGCAACCTCCGCCTCACGGGTTCAAGCAATTCTCCTGCCTCAGCCACCTGAGTAGCAGGAATTACAGGTATGCGCCGCCACAACCAGCTAACTTTGTATTTTTAGTAGAGATGGGGTTTCACCATGTTGGGTCAGGCTGGTCTCAAACTCCTGATCTCAGATGATCTGCCTGCCTTGGCCTCCCAAAGTGCTGGGATTATAGGAGTGAGCCACTGCGCCCAGCCAGTTCTATCACTTCTATGACAGAGAATTTTTAAATTATCAAAAAAGCCTGATCTTTCATGTAACACTTTGTCCAGTCTTACCCCACGAGTATTTTCATCTGCTGTCTCACACTTCGCATCCGCAAGTGAAAGTGCTCCTGCTTTTTACGTATTGTACGGTAAAGGTTTTAGATCCTTCTAGGCCGGGCTCCTGCCAACAACCCCAGCACTTTGGGAGGCCGAGGTGGGTGGATCAGTGAGACCAGGAGTTTGAGACCAGGCTGGCCAACATGGTGAAACCCAGTCTCTACTAAAAATACAAAAATTAGCTGGGAGTGTTGGCAGGTGCCTGTGATCCGAGCTTCTCAGGAGACTGAGGCACGAGAATCACTTGAACGCAGGAGGTGGAGGTTGCAGTGAGCTGAGATCATGCCACTGTACTACAGCCTGGGTGACAGAGACTCTATCTCAAAAAAAAAAAAAAAAAAAAAAAAAAGATTTTAGATCCTTCTAATAAGATGAAGCCCACTGTGTCAAAAAATTTAGGTTAGGCACGGTGGCTCACGCTTGTAATCCCAACACTTTGGGAGGCTGAGGCAGGTGGATCATGAGGTCAGGAGTTCGAGAACAGCCTGATCAACATGGTGTAACTGCCATCTCTACTAAAAATGCAAGAATTAGCCAGGCATGGTGGCGTTCACCTATAATCCCAGCTACTCAAGAGACTGAGGCAGGAGAATCACTTGAACTGGAAAGGTGGAGGTTGCAGTGAGCCGAGATCGGGCCACTGCATTCCAGCCTGGGCAACAGAGTAAGACTCCATCTCAGAAAAAAAAAAATCCAAAGGTTAGGATATGAAGTCATTCTGACAGATTATACTGTGGAATATATATCCCTGTTCCTTTCCTCTGAGCCTTATTTTCATGTTAATAGTTTAAGCTACATACTACATGTCAAGACCTTTATATACCATATAATGTTTCATTATTTACAAAATTTTAGGTGGTTGATATTACTCACATTAATTAACAGGCCCAACATCACAATTTCTAGCAAGAGGAAGAGGCATGATTTTAATGCAAGTCTAACTCTGGTGGCCTAATCTGCAGTCTACGTTGCATCCACATTAAATATTTTAAATGTTCACTGTGAATTCGCTTGAGCTACTATTTCTTTCTCTATGCCACACTTAAAAAAATCACAATGATACTTGGGTTTGGGTGAAAAAATGGTGTGCCTAGATGTTTCTTTCTGGCTCAGTGTAAAATAGGAGTTTCCAAAGCACATTATGTGCTGTGTTATAGTTTTTCAACCCATTTATCCCAGGTTAATAGCTTAGATGGTCATTTCTTTTTCTTTCTTTTCTTTTCTTTTCTTTTTTTTTTTTTGATATGGAGACTTGCTATGTTACCCAGGCTGGAGTGCAGTGGCATGATCTTGGCTCACTGCAACCTCTACCTCCCAGGTTCAAGTGATTCTTCTGCCTCAGCCTCCTGAGTAGCTGGGACTACAGGGGCGCACCACCATGCCCAGCTAATTTTTGTATTTTTGGTAGAGATGGGGTTTTACCATGTTGACCAGGCTGGTCTTGAACTCCTGACCTCAGGTGATTCACCTGTCTCAGCCTTCCAAAGTGTTGGGATTACAGGCGTGAGCCACTACACCTGGCAGATGGCTGTTTCTCTAATGTAAAATGTGAAGCAGGCCCAGTGAAGGGCCCCAGGGCTGTGCCAGCGGTGAGCAGCCTGCATCTGTGCCCTGACATCCTAACTTCCTCGGTGAAAAATAAGACCATTATTCTGCCTGTTTGTTTACAAGGAGCAATTCGTTAGAAATGACAGTATGCTGAAAGTCTTGTTTTCCCTCCAATTTTTTACAGGGAAGTTTGGGGGTGGCTCTCAGAGAGGACATTTTGGTGGCCTCATTGAGGAAGATGATGTGAGTCTCCTTGCTGCAGCTCTGCGAGTTCAGGTTTGTTTGAATAGCTCTTTGAGAATTTGAGTTTGGAAGTTTGATGAATAGTTGCTAATGTTTTGCAAGTGTTTTCTGTTTACCAGGTACAGTGTCAAACACTTCACACACAGTGTTAGGCTTATCTGATAAATGAAGAAATGGTGATTTTACAAAATGAAGCGAGTTGCCTGTGATCACATGGCATGTGTGGGGCAGGGACCCATATTGAGGACTGTGTATATGTTGTCTTGTGCTACACAGTAAATTATCCCAAAATTTAGCAACTCAAACAACAAGGCATTTATTATCCCACATTTTCTCCAAGTAAGGGGTTTGGCAGTAGATTAACAGATTACATGGTGTGTAAGTCCATTCTTGCATTGCCGTGAAGAAATACTAGCTACTCAGGAGGCTGAGCAGCAGGATGGCTTGAACCCAGGACATGGAGGTTGCAGTGAGCTAAGATCAGACCACTGCACTCCAGCCTGGGTGACAGAGGGAGACTCAAAATTTAAAAAGAAGAAGGAGAAGGAGAAGAAGGAGGGGGAGGGGGAGGGGGAGAAGGAAGAGGAGGAGAAAGAAGGAGGAGGAGGAGAAAGGAGGAGGAGGAGGAGGAGGAGGAGAAAGAAGGAGGAGGAGGAGAAAGAAGGAGGAGGAGGAGAAAGAAGGAGGAGGAGGAGAAAGAAGGAGGAGGAGGAGGAAGAAGAAGAAATACCTGAGACTGGTTCATTTAGAAAGAAAAAATGTTTAATTGGCTCACAGTTCTTTATTTTTCCCTTGAGAGGGAGTCTCGCTTTGTCAACCAGGCTGGAGTGCAGTGTTGTGATGTTGGCAACCTCTGCCTCCGGGTTCAAGTGATTCTCATGCCTCAGGCTTCCAAGTACCTGGGACTATAGGCATGTGCCACCATGCCCGACTCATTTTTGTACTTTTAGTAGAGACAGGGTTCCACCATGTTGGCCAGGCTGGTCTTGAACTCCTGGCCTCATGTGATCTATTTGCCTCAGCCTCCCAAAGTGCTGGAATTATAGGCATGAGCCACCTGGCCTGGCTTACAGTCTTGCAGGCTGTGGAGGAAGCATAACACAGGCATCTGCTTCTGAAGAGGCCTCACCAAGCTTCCAATAATGGCAGACAGTGAAGGGAAATCAGGCATCTCACAGGGTAGGAACAGGAGCAGAGGGTGAGGGGGCCATGCTATATACTTTTTTTTTGCCCCCCACTCCCGGTGCTATATAGTTTTAAACGACCAGATCTCAGGAGAACTCACTCATTATCACCAGGACGCTACCAAGGGGGGTGATGCTAAACCATCATTAGAAACTAGCCCCTGTGATCTGATCACCTCCCACCAGGCCCCACCTCTAACACTGGGGATTACATTTCAAGATGAGATTTGGGCAAGGACACACATCCAAACTATATCAGATGGTTTTGGCTCAGGATCTCTCATGAAGTTGAAATGAAGATGTCAGCTGGGGCTGCAGTCATCTGAGGACTTGACTAGGGCTGGAGGATGTGTTTCCAAGATGGCATACTCACATGGCTATGGGCATGTGTATTTCATTCTTCACTGGCCATCAGCAGGATGCCATAGTTCCTCATCATGTTGACCTCTCTGTACGGCTGCCCCCAGTGTGGCAGCTAACATCCCCAGTGTGAGTGACCCAAGGGAGGGAACTAGGAGGAATCTGCAGGATGGATGACCTAGATGCTAAGATCATGTGCCGCCACTTCCTTTTTTCCTGAGTGTTAGAAGTAAATCACTAAATCCAGTTCACACTCAAGAGACAGAGAATTGTGCTCTCTTCTTCAAGACAGGAGTATTAAAGTATTTGTAGACATTTTTTCAAACCACCACCACCTGTGTGACCTAAAGTCCAAGGTCATCAGTGTTCTACCATACAAGCTGAGCGTTCTCATGGTGCTGGAGCCTGTAGTTATGGTGGCCTCTGGCAGTGACATTTAGTTTATTTCTTTCTTTTTTTTCTTTTTTTTTTTTTTTTTTTTTTGAGACGGGGTTTATGTTACCCATGCTAGAGTGCAATGGCGCGATCTCGGCTCACCGCAACCTCCGCCTCCTAGGTTCAGGCACTTCTCCTGCCTCAGCCTCCTGAGTAGCTGGGATTACAGGCACACACCACCATGCCCAGCTAATTTTTTGTATTTTTTTTTAGTAGAGACGGGGTTTCACCATGTTGACCAGGATGGTCTCGATCTCTTGACCTCGTGATCCACCCGCCTCGGCCTCCCTAAGTGCTGGGATTACAGGCCTGAGCCACCGCGCCCGGCGAGCTAGTTTATTTCTTTCTTATGTACAGGGTAATACACAATTAAAATTCTTTACCTAAAAATGGGTCATTATATATTGTAAGGATTATAAGTGACATTTCCATCAAAGCTAAATTTTATTTTTATTTATTTTTATTTCATTAACATAATTTATATGCATATATAGCACTACTCAGTAATTCAGTTGCTTGCTCTTTTATACCAACTATAGAAGGAAACTGGGTATCCAAGATGATCATTCACGCAGTCTTGTATTTTCTTCATTTTTCTTTCCTAAATGGCATGAAGAACCCGTTCAGTATAAGTTTATCCATGTACACGATGTCTTTTGTGAATGCCTAATCTATTTTATTTATTTATTTAGGCTTCGTTTATTTATTAATTTATTTTGAGACAGGGTCTCACTGTGCTGCCCAAGCTGGAGTGCAGAGGTGCGATCTCGGCTCACTGCAGCCTCCACCTCCAGGTTCAAGCAATTCTCCTGTTTCAGCCTCCTAGGTAGCTGGGTTTACAGGCACATGCCACCACACCTGGCTAATTTTTGTATTTTTCATAGAGATAAGATTTCACCATGTTGGCCAGGCTGTCACAGACTCCTGACCTCAAGTGATCTGCCTGTCTCAGCCTCCCAAAGTGCTGTGATTATAGGCATGAGTCACCTTGCCTGGTCTATTTATTTATTTACTTTTAAAAAGACAGAATCTCAGCTAGGCTGGTGTTCAGTGGTGTGATTATGGCTCGCTGTAGCCTCAAAATTCTGGGCTCAAATAATCCTCCCACCTCAGCCTCCCCAGTAGCTGGGATTATAGGTGTATTTACACCTGTATTTTTTAATTGTGTATTTTCTCACATTTTCCTGTTTTTCTTTTTTAAATTTAACAAAAATAATAGACATGGTCAGAAGTTCTGGCTTGTGACTTGAAATAACCCTGGACATAAATCTTTAAAAATATTCTCAGATTCATTGCTGTAAGTATGAAGAGCTAATCATCTGAAGGGAACTGTAGAATTAAGCTGAATCATCAAGTCCATGCGTGCATATTTAAGAAACAAAGCAGTTTCTTTTAATACTATCAAATTATTCAGTACAGTATTTAATAGTCATATATTCTAACTAGCCATGCAGGTTTTCACATTTTCCTTTTTAGGAAAAACCTACAACCCTGTTGAATAAAAATATTCCTAATATCCCCTCAGCTTATTATGCAATTTTATAATCTCGTTTTGTAACATCCATAAACAATATTTCCATGTTTTAAGCGCGTGCGCTGTCAGCACTTACCATTCTAATATATGTTTTCCTCTCTGTCCTTGCTGAAGAATATGGTCAGTAGTGGAAGGAGATGGCTTCGTGAACAGCAGCACCGGCGGTGGAGACTTCACTGCTTGAAACTTCAGCCTCTGTCCCCTGTGCCAAGGTAACGCTGGTGATTTATTTACACTAAAGTCAGTTCAGCACGGTGAATTCCATCCAGTTAGTCATAGGGGAAAAGCACAGCTCATGGTTCTGTGGTTTTGATGGTAGGTAATTTTCTCTATTCATGAAATTGCCATCCTATTTTCTCTATTGTAACTTCTCAAAAATTAAATTGTAATTAATGTATTATTGACTGTGTTCTGTCACTTCCAAGAAGGCATAGTTTTTCATTTAATTTCAGTGATGTCTCCTATATTATATAAAAGTATTTTTTCTTTTTCTTATTTTTTTTTCTGAGATGAAATCTTTCTCTGTTGCCCAGAGTGGAGTGCAATGGCATGATCTCAGCTCACTGCAATCTCCCAGGTTCAAGCAATTCTCCTGCCTCAGCCTCCCGAGTAGCTGGGATTACAGGTGCACGCCACCATGCCTGGCTAATTTTTGTATTTTTAGTAGATACAGGGGTTTTGCCATCTTGGTCAGGCTGGTCTTGAACTCCTGATCTCTGGTGATCTGCCCACCTCGGCCTCCCAAAGTGAGTCACTGCACCCGGCCTGGCCGTGTTTTTTCTTCTTAGTGATCCATTAAGTAATGGTTTTAAATGTGACAAAATATGGTAATATTTGGAACGTGCTTTTCAGTGTCAGAAATGCCTGGCACATATATATCCACTTGGTCTCAAGGGCCATGTAGGTTTCTACTCTGGGAATAAATGACCACTCAAACCGAACATCATTCCACATGGGAACTGAGCTCAGCTTTCTTCAGAACAATCTGACAGGATAGTCTGTGTTCATCAAGGTGGGTATTTTCCTCAGAGTGCTCTTTGATGAGGTCTAAGCTACATATTCTAGCTATAAGTTTGGAAATATAAACATAGTGTCAGCATGTGGTTTAGAATTGATTGGGCAGGGATGACATCTGAGCCAGAGAGCCGCCTTTTCCAGCCTGATGCTGAGTCATCTCTGTCTGCCCCACTCCATGGAATCGGCCCCAGCCCCATTATCCAGGTATGCATAATGCCAGGTGTGCATCCCCAGGTAATCTCATCCAGCAACGTTGGAATGCACAGAGTGCTGAGGAGATAAATTTCCTCTAGTAAGTGACTCTTTTTTTTTTTTTTCTTTTTTTGAGACAGAGTCTTGCTCTGTCATCCAGGCTGGAGTGAAGTGGCTTACTGCAACCTCCACATCCCAGGTTCAAGCAATTCTCCTGTCTCAGCCTCCTGAGTAGCTAGGACTACAGGCACACACCACCACACCCGGCTAATTTTTGTATGTTTAGTAGAGATGGGGTTTTACCATATTGGTCAGGCTAGTTCAAACTCCTGACCTCAGGTATTCCACCCACCTTGGCCTCCCGAAGTGCTGGGATTACAGGCGTGAGCCACTGCGTCGGACCTGACTCATTTTTTACCTGATAACCAGGTGCTTTATAGAATTGAACTTCATTTCATTTGGCAGTCAGATGAGCACCCTGGTTCAATTCTACCCACCCGGAGGGTGCAACCCTCCAGGCCACGTTTTCATCCCTGAAATGGACGCAACATCTCAGTTATGCTCTCTGTTCATTAATTACGCAAGTTGCAATGAGGAATGCTATTCTTTGTAATATCATCCCTGGACTTGTGCAATCTGTTTTATTAAATATCTTATTTTAGAGTTATTTATGTTGTTATGAGACCTTAGTTTTTAAAAGTAAATCAGTAATTTCTACTTAAAAAGAGCTAAAAAGGATTAAAATAGATTCCATCAAATTGTGTACCAAAGTTTCAATGTAAATTCTTCTTGTTTAACCAAGAATTCTTTAAATAATTAAAGCCTTTTCTCCCCCAAGAAGAATTTACATTGAAACTTTGAGACCATTGATTTCTAGACCCACTGGGCAAAGAGAAGCAGGTCAAGTAGTTTATAAATCACCCAAAAAATCGTGATGATGCCACCCGGACTCTTTAGCTAGTAAAGAGAAAACTTTACAGGCCTTTGTTTTGCTTTGTGGCAGGAACTTCCTCTGTTGCCCAGGCTGGTGTGCAGTGGCTTGATCTCTGCTCACTGTAACCTCTGCCTCCTGGGTTCAAGTGAGGACACCTGGCTAATTTTTGTATTTTTAACAGAGACAGGGATTCACCATGTTGGCCAGCCTGGTCTTGAACTCTGGACCTCAAGTGATTCACCCTCCTTGTGATCCCAAAGTGCTGAGCTTACAGGCTTGAGCCACCATGCCTGGCCTGTATTGTTTTTGGTTGTTTTTTGAGACAGTCTCACTCTGCCACCCAGGCTGGTGTGCAGTGGTGTGATCTCAGCTCACCTCAACCTCCGCCTCCCAAGTTCAAGTGATTCTCCTGCATTGGCCTCCTGGGTAGCTGGGACTACAGGTGTGTACCACCACACCTGGCTAATTTATTTGTATTTTTAGTACAGATAGCATTTTGCTATGTTGGTCAGGCTGATCTCAAACTCCTGGACTCAAGTGATCCTCCTGCCCTGGTCTCCCAAAGTGGTGAGATTACAGGCATGAGCCACTGCATCCTGCTAAAAGCTTACACATTATCCAAGATTAAGCTCTTCAATTTAGGAGATTATGGGAAGAGAGAGACAGAAAAAAGTAATAGGAAGGTAAAACAGCGTAGGAGTCTAGAAAGGAAAGGTTGGATGGGTGGAGGCCTGGAAGGGAGTACTCAGCAGGCCTTACGGGGATTATCTGAACTCCCAGCTTCTCTGCTGCCCTTTGGAGAAGTCTGGATAGAGGTGTATTTGCTTTTATCTCTTACCCCCAGGTTAGACCCCCACAAGATCCTGGAGGAGAGTCTAGGATGGTCTCAACACTGTGGGTAAATTTTTCCCAGTAGGTACAGAAAAATCAGGGCCAAGGGGCTGACTAAAGTCCGCTGAGGGTGTTATCTGCCCACTGCAAGGAGGCAGATCACAACACAAATAAGTATTCTGGGGTAAGTCAAGGAATAGCTGTCATCTCTGATGCCACATTTAAGAGCAGTTCACTGCTGCCTGCTCTCCCTGGGTTAGTTTTGCTGCTGGGGGAACAGGTGTGCCTTCCATCTCTCACTCACGCACAGACACATGAGTGCCCTGACTCCCCAGCAAAGAAATGACTGAGCACATGAGCCCCAGAGGGGTCCTCCCTGAAGAGTCCAGCGCTGCACATGCTGGTATCCAGACCACTTCTGTAAGATGAGCAGGCGTGGCCAGTAAAATAGAAGAGTTCAGTTACTGCCCAGTGACAGACACTCTGGAGCTCCTACGATTTTCTGTCTGAACTTGGGCTCAGTTCCCTAGGCCCTTTTACCGACAGTTATATAATTAATTCAATATTTTGAAATATGATTTTAGACTGTAAATAGAAAAGAGAAGGGGAAGTGTGGACTCAGATGAAATAGCATTTCCACATTTTTTCTTTTCTTCTTTTTTGTACTTAATCTCCAGTGTGATAGTAATGTCCACATTTTTGAAAAGTCAGGAGAAACATGTGGCCAGCCCAACAGGAGATGGTTATGCGATGGCCCTCTATTCATGGCTAACGAATACGTGACAGCCCACACAGAGCATTTTACCCTGCAGTGGAATTGCACTTGCAGGAGGCCTTTGGACACATTATCATATAAAATTCTTCTCTGTATGGCAGAGGTGTTATGCTTCCACCTGGACACAATTCTAGGATCTTTGTGAATTTTTTGGAGTTGCGTTTCTAAAATGATGCACCATTTTCTCATACACATTAATTGTTAGCAGTTGTGCTTTATTACTGCCTGGGAGAAAGGACCCCAAAGCAATCGCATTGATTTCATTGTTGGCGGGATGTGTGGCTGTTTTCACTCCAGTTGCGACCACCTAAGCTGAGACGCCTCTTGCCTCTTTTATGTTGTCTTTCCCCTCAGTGACATTGAGATTTCAAGAGCACAAACTCCAAAAGCTGTGGATGTCCTTGCCAAGGAGATTGGATTGCTTGCAGATGAAATTGAAATCTATGGCAAAAGCAAAGCCAAAGTACGTTTGTCTGTGCTGGAGAGGTTAAAGGACCAAGCAGATGGGAAATACGTCTTAGTTGCTGGGTAAGACGCCGTCTAACATCTATTTTACCAAGCAGACATATTTATGAAACTCTTCCCCATGTATCTCTGTCCTCATGCCCCTCAGTCCACCCTCTTCTCACATTTGACATTTTGTCCATTTCATTTGGCATTTCTTCATTTGGCATGAGATAAGTTTTTATTTTCTGTGCAGCGCAAATTCGTCAACTCTACGAAATATAAAGTCGAGTTGCAGTGCGTTGTCTTTTGTTTCTCATACTGTGTTGTTATTTCCCCTGCTCCTCCTTGGCTTTTTAAATTTCATTTTTCATTATAAAAATCAAATTGTGAATCGAAAGTAAAATATTTTGAATGGAGCAGTTTGTGCGTTCTGCTTAGAAATAATATTTTAATGGAGAAGGTACAGATAATTGTGTGAAACATGTTTTCCTGTTAATATCCTTGATCTTGTTTATACATTCACATGGCAAAAACCCATTATTTCCCTTTTCCTGCATTTCAAAATTAATGTTAGGCCATTTTCACTTGTGTTGGTTATTTTATAAAAGACACATTTGTAGTTTTTGTGAAAAGGACTGTTTGCCTTTTTTCTCTTCTTTTTTAAAAAAGAAATACATTCACTAGCTGAAAAGATGATAGAAAGCAAGGGATTTCAAATATTTATTTAATGTGACCTGAGGGAACATCATGGGACCATATAAATTCCTTTGTTGCCTTGAAATTTCATTGCGGTGACTTGCTTATGATGTATAGGCTAAGGCTTCAGGCACCAAAACCTATTTGTAAGGTAGAGACATTTCTTGTAACTGGACTTGACTCCTAGTTAGCCTTGTTTTTACATATTTAATTATCAGTGTAAGTGCTTTTTTCTTTATTTCTTTTTCTGGTTATAATAGCGATGTAGTTTCATTTTAGAAATATTCTAGAAATTCAGAAAACAGAAGTAAAAAAGTAAAACACCCCAAACGCTAGCACCCAAAGGAAACAACTGTTGACCTCTGAGGACTGTTTTGACACTGACAGTCTCACATCCATGAGATCACACTAGGCATGCTACTCTATAAGCAGCCTGATTATTATTCAACCATATGTGGTGTACTGAACTCCATGTGAGTGAGTATAAAGCAATGTTACCATTTTTCATGACAGCATAACATTCCATCACTCACAATCCCAGATTCTTTTTTTTTTTTTAAGACAGAATCTCGTTCTGTTGCCAAGGCTAGAGTACAGTGGCACAATCTCAGCTGACTGCAACCTCTGCCTCCCGGGTTCAAGTGATTCTCCTGCCTCAGTCTCCTGAGTAGCTAGGATTACAGGCACCCACCACAACGCCTAGCTAAGTTTTATATTTTTAATAGGGGATTTCAGCATGTTGGCCAGGCTGGTCTTGAAGTCCTGACCTCAAGTGATCCGCCCCTCTCAGCCTCCCAAAGTGCTGGGATTACAGGCGTGAACCACTGCTCCCAGCTACATCCCAGATTCTTAAACGTGTTGGGGAAGCAGGGGCTGGGAGAGTAGCAAAAATGCCCAGGGTGAGGACGGAGATCCCATCTTACACATCTTCTGGCACCTCTAGTTCCATCAACAAGTGGTACTCTGGCCCAGCCACTGATAATACTGAGTGTTTCTAATTGCTCAAATGCATTGATGCAGAAAAATAATTTGAACATAGAATAGGGATGTTTCACAACTTATTTGACCAATTTTCTGTTGATGGGCAATTGAAGTGTTCCCAATGTTTGCCATTGGAAACTGCTAGAATTCACAACCCTGGGCATGTGGATTTGTGCATCTGTTCCATGATCTCCTAAGGAAAAATCTCCAGAGGTGAGTTCAATTATTTATAACTGCAAATAAAGCAAAATATCATCCAAAACAATATCACCTCTTTAATGATATAGTGATTTCTTCATATCCCCTTCCCCTTTCCCACTTTCCTCTCCTCTTCTTCTCTTTGTTTGTGTATTCTTTTTTTTTTTTTTTTTTTTTTTTGAGACGAAGTCACCCAGGCTGGAGTTCACTGGTGCGATCTCGGCTCACCGCAGCCTCTGCACCCACCCACCCCCAGGTTCGAGCAATTCTCCTGCCTCAGCTTCCCAAGTAGCTGAGATTCCAGGCATGCACCACCATGCCTAGCTAAGTTTTTTCCTATATTTTTAGAGAAGGGTTTTCACCACGTTGGCCAGGCTGACCTTCCATCTCCTGGCCTCTAGTGGTCCCCTGCCCTCATCCTCCCAAAGTGCTGAGATTAGAGGTGTGAGCCACTGTGCCCAGCTTCTGCAGCATTTTTGTAAGAGGGACAGATAGCCAGGGCCTCTCAGAATCCCTGCGCAGCTGGCGTTGTGAGGAATTCATTTCTGCTGCACACCTCACTCAGTTGTCTGTGGCTCAACCCTTCTCCCTCAGGCTTCCAGGCTCACTGCAGTTAGATTCCTGAGTCCCTTTCCAATCTAGAACCCCAAACTTAATGTCCCCATAACTGAGTACGGGAAAGTTCCTTGCTGATGGGAGGGGGTTGGCTCCACCTGCAGTCATCCCCTCTGGGCCTAAAACTCTGCAAAGAGCTACCTCTGGTTAGATTGGCTCCGGGGTCTCAAAGTTTGGGGCATAGTTTAGTCAGGGTAGCTTTTTTTTTTCTTTTGAAGCGGAGTTTCACTCTTGTTGCCCAGGCTGGAGGGCAATGGTGCAACCTTGGCTTACTGCAACCTCCGCCTCCCAACCTCAGGTGATCCACCCATCTTGACCTCCCAACGTGCTGGGATTACAGGCGTGAGCCACCATGCCCGGCCCAGGGTTGCTTTTATGGCAGTATGCTTGATGCATGTTTGTTTGCAATGAATAAACAAACTCTTGGCCATTAAGACCTTTAAATGCATTTGATTTATGGAATTGGTTCCCTTCGTCCAGGCTTCACGTGATCTTGGGAGGTGGGTTTGCAGGTTTTTTCACCCTGTTTAGATGGGAACACTTAAGGAAAACTGAGTAGGATGTGCTGTCTGTTTATGAAGGAAGAATCATGCAGCAGATTTTCTTATCCAGGGCCTCTGCTTTACTCCATTTTGGGCTTGTCCATCAAATCAGAAATCCAGACATGGATGGCCCTGTCCTTAGCTAGGAACACAAAACTGATACTTCTCAAACAAAGCTATGATATATTGTTGTCAGGTTACTTACTTGTCATCAAAGCTGGGCCTCCAGCCTCATGCTGGAGAATGCTAGCTGGCATGGCTCTCAAGGGTTACAGCCAATGTGTCCTTGGCCAGTAGAATATTTCTCCACGTTGGTTCTTTGCTAGCATTAACATGTATAATAGAGCTGAAGTTGGCCTGCCATGTTGTAAATAGAAAAGAGATAAAACATGAATTTTTAAGATCAGATTAAACACCAAGAGATTAATAATTCGTTTTCTCAAATTGTGACATATATTCCTTTACCTAACAAAGACCTTTGAAGGAACAAAAATTAAATGGTCTGTCTCTATTTTAAAAACTAAATTGGAGAAAAAACTACCGTGCAGGTAAGATTATGATATACGTATGCATTTGTGGCAGAGCTTGAAGATTTTTAGGAAATAGCCACACTGACTTTTTCCCTTACACTGGATTGTGTAAGGGAAGAATGAACATTTATTGTGTTCTCCGCAACACAATAAATGGTATACTTTTTGGGCTGTAAACTGTCGTCAATATTGAGTCCTTTAAATGCTGAATGATTGAGATCAATTTAGGCCACAGGCAAATATTTTATCTATAGTCTAAAGTGGGCCTGGCATGGTGGCTTGTGCCTATAATCCAGTTACTCAGGAGGCTGAGGTGGGTTGATCGCTTGAGGGCAAGAGTTCAAGACCAACCTGAGTAACATAGCAAGACCCATCTTTTAAAAATACAAGCAGCAAAAAGCAGCGCTGGTTTAAAGCAGGATTTCTAAATTAAAGTGAAAAGACAATTTGAAATAAAATTCACCTTCACATTTTTTCATTTAACCAGGTCAAGAGTTAGGGGAAAATGATGTTATCAAAGCATTATATGCACTGTTAAAACTTCTTTCAAAATATAAATGATCCCTCCATTAAATGGAGAATTATTTCCTTTTTCTGGAAGTCTTTTTTAATTCTGAAAATAATATTAGCTTATTGTAAAAAATTTAACATAAAGAAAAGAAAAAAAAGAGGAGATAGCTCTTATAACTCAAGATTTTATTTATACATTCATCCTTTGTACATATTGAGATTATGCTATAATTCCATTTTTGTCCTACCTTTTTCTCTAAAACTATAACATAAATCTTTTTCTATGCTTTAGAAGAATTCAAATACCCAAGAAATTTTTAAATAAAACTAAATAACAATATATGTGTTATTATGTATTTGAATTTATGTAGAAATGTGATTTAAATATATCAGCAATGGGATTAAAATATAAAACAATGAGATTTTTTTAAAATCTTCTATTAATAACCCACATGCAGAACAGATTAATTCTTTTAAAAAGCTGTTCTTCAAACTTTAGGATTTCTTATTCAGTCAGAATCATCTGCATTTCATCAAGTACACATCAGATGGTATTTACACCTACACATCACTTTATTTGCTTTGCCTGACAAAATGAAAAGTATTGGGAATTGTTCAGGGAAATATGCCAAAAGAATCTTAGAGACTCTTGAGTTTTACATATTTTCCCCGTTACACTAATGAAAAGGAATTTTGTTTGAGAACTTGACTTGGAGTGCAGCTGCGGGGCATTTGAATCTCAGTTTCCATAAGGCCTGTACCCATTTCTGTGCTGAAGTTTCTAGAATTTCCCTGAATTTGTTGGACAGAGCAGCTAAAAAAGAAGCCCAATCAGATCTGGGAATGGACTGAATTTCACATTAAAAAAAAAAATTAAAATCATTCACATTACTTTATCTTGTTTCTTTTTTTCTTTTTTCTTTTTTTTTTTTCCTGCAGAGGGCCAAATACCTGACTGGATTTTTACAAAAATGTTTCAACCCATTATTTTGGTACACTGTAAAAATAATCTTTACTGGCTTTTCTAAGATTTTGCTTTTCTACCTTGAATAACTGTCTGTGAGATTTTCTTTTATTTGTGCAGCTTGGAGAATAAAACACAGGTATTTAGAAGAAAGCACCTACCATGGGGCCTTTGAAATGTTTACCTAAATCAAGTGTAATGAGAAACATCACCAAATGCACTGTGGAGTTTATTGTTATATCATAAAGGCTTTAAAACCCTCCCAGTGGCCAGGTGCGGTGGCTCACGCCTGTAATCCCAGCACTTTGGGAGGCTGAGGCGGGTGGATCATGAGGTCCAGAGATCAAAACCATCCTGGTCAACATGGTGAAACCCCATCTCTACTAAAAATACAAAAATTAGCTGGGCATTGTGGCACATGCCTGTAGTCCCAGCTACTCAGGAGGCTGAGGCAGGAGAATTGCTTGAACCCAGGAGGCAGAGGTTGCGGTGAGCGGAGATCATGCCATTGCACTCCAGCCTGGGTAACAAGAGCAAAAGTCCATCTAAAAAAAAAAAAAAAAAAAAAAATAAAAAAAAAAAAAAAACCCTCCCAGATCCTAAAAATGCCTGGGATGGATGATTTCTGTTCATATGCTACCTGAGCATGTAGTTTTGGAGTGCGTGGTTAGGCCCATGGTGAATGGCAGTGGTACCATTCAACAAGATTCTGGGTCTTGAGAATAGTTCAAAGTTTTATCGCTTCTCTCTGGATAAGCCATCTTTTTGACCTTTGAGTAAATTATAAACTACTTTCCAGATTATGTCCAAATGGTCACAGGTACTTTGACAATTTTTACTGTAGCTGCCAATAAATAATACTCATCTTTAAAAAGATGTTATTCTGGCTGGGTATGGTGGCTCACACCTGTAATCCCAGCACTTTGGGAGGCCGAGGCAGGTGGATCATTTGAGGTCAGGAGTTTGAGACCAGCCTGGCCAACATGGTGAAACTCTCTTTCTACCAAAAATATAAAAATTAGCCAGACATGGTATTGGGCACCTGTAATCCCAGCTTCTTGGGAGGGCGAGGCAGGAGAATTGCTTGAGCCTGGGAGGCGGAGGTTGCAGCGAGTAGAGATTGTACCACTGCACTCCAGCCTGGATGACAGAGCGAAACTCCTTCTCAAAAAAAAAAAAAGGGGGGCATCATTCCATTGTCAATTCTTTTTTGCTGGTCTGTGCCCTGAACTGGTGATAGGGGTGCAAAGGGAGTGAGCATTGTCCTTTACCTCAGCAAGTGTGTGGCCTGGTAGGCAAGAGAGGCACGTCAGAATGCTTATCGTTTAAGTTAAATTAACCGTCTGAAAAGTTCTAGAATAATCACGTAATCAGTGCTCTAGAAATCAGGAAGGGAGCACAGAAACCTGCCGGGAGAAATGGAGGAAGGTAATGAACAGAAGTCACGGTTCCATCTCTAAGCTCCCAAAGAAAAAAATTGGATTACCCTGGTGGTGCTCTTTCTTTTCTAAATCACCATTGATGATTTGGAATCTGAGCTAACAATAGGGAAAAACGAAAAAAAAATTTTGATACCAAACGCAGGAAGGAGGTGAAATAAAATTTTTATCGTAGCTCCCCTTTTATTGCTCCCAATAAATACTTCCTACTTTGTGATTTTCCTGAATTGTATTAGTTGGCCGAAAGCTGAGCGGTCCTGTGTTTTTAATTAAGAATTGGATGGCTAGACAGAGTTTTGAGGAGGTCATCTCTGGGCGTGTCTGCTTTTGGCTTTCTCCGGCAGCTATGCTAGCATATCCCTGGGAATGGAAATGCAATCCTTCATGTGACACAGTTTAAGTAAACCACTTAGTCCTCTGCAAACACCAAATGCTCAGTACGGTACTTAAATGGCACCGTGTTTGATGCCACAGTTTCTTTATAGGCTCTTCTAAGACTGTGATGCCTGTGGGCTTTTAGCTGCCCTTATTGATGTTGTATCCAAGAAAACAGAAAGTTGACTCCACGTGGAAATATTAACATCTTTGTATAACTTTTCGGTCTTCACCTTGACCACACTCCAAATCTGCTATTTAGACAGATGCAGAGGTGACTGATAAGCCAGGGTCTTGTGGCTTCAGGAGTCTGAGGTTTCTTCCATGCAGCGGTGTCGGGATAGGCTCACCAGCTTCTGGCCACAGCGGGTACCAGCGAATCCACTGACCACTGGGTCCTCATCCTGCTTCCTGCTTCAGTGCATTTGACTTTCCTGGAATCAGTCTCTTCCTTGGCCTTCCTTCTTCTCCAGGGTTCTCTTATTTTTTATTTATTTTTTATATTTTTAGAGACAGGGTCTCACTATATTGTCCAGGCTGGTCTCGAACTCCTTGGCTCAAGCAACCCTCCTACCTTAGCCTCCCAAAGTGCTAGGATTCCAAGCATGAACCACTGCACACAGCCAGGTTCTCTTATTTTCTAGTACACCTTCCTAGTTTCCTTTTGGACTCTCTTCTTCTGACTGCTCATTAAAAGAAAATGTACTTCACTCTTCTGTCCTTACCCCTTTTCTCACTCAGTGCACTGTCCTTGGGTGATCTTACCCGTTCCATGCTTTAAATGGCTAATTATAGTTATGATTTCCATCCATGGAGAACCTGGTTAAGTTAGATGACTGGCTTTGCCTCCCAGCTCTACTGCTTACCAGTTGTGTGACTGTGGGCATGTTGCTTAAACTCTGTGCCTCAGTTTCCTCATCTATCAAATAAGGGCACAAAAATAATTAACCCCATAAATATGAAGCATAGCACCTCTCCTGCCAACTGCCCCAGTCTATTCTCAGTTTTAGCTGGTTAACGTTTATTCATTTGTCAGGTCTCACCTAAGATGTTTTCCTCCAGGAATCATTCCCAGATGTTCAAATCTAGTTAGATCCTTCTTGCACGCGCCCTCACAATTCAGTCTGATTACCCTATTTTCCTGTCTTAGTGTTGGTCACATTTATCGAAATTGCTGATGTATTCAGATCAGCTAGAAGCTGGTGAGGGTAGAGTGGAGTCTGGCTGGATCATCACTGTGCCCCAGGGTCTAGCGTAGTGCCTGACTCTAGCAGCGCTTGGAAAATATCTGCTGAATGAATGACTCAAGGAATTGCAGGGTACAATGATGCCTCTAAAGACATTCCTTCTTTCTGGTCACATCCCTAGGTTTTGTAGGTCAGAACTATTGGATTTGTTATGGTTGAGTGTCCCTGACAACGTGGCTCACAGTAACTCACGGAAGACCAAATCGTAAACCCAAATGACAGCCTTTAAAGTTTTTAACGATGCTTGTGGTGTGCAAAAGAACGATTTTATGAGGCTATGCTTGCTAATGTAATAGGCTCTCTTCAGCACCCAATACTGTGATGTTATGAACACGGGAACATTTGGTGTTATAGAGTGTTGTCATCAGCAATAAGCTTCTCAAGAGCACAAGTTTCCGCCATAGGATACACCAGGTCTTTGGCTCTGAGTATTTGAAGGACTGTCATATGGAAAGGGATCAGGCTGAGTGTGTCGGATTCCAAGAGCCGGGACACAAAAAGAATGCAGATGCCTTCTATTTAGAACAAAGAACTTTTGAACGGTAATAGCTGTCTGGAAATGAGTGGGCCACCCTGGAGGTCAAGACCTTATCACATCTGTGTTCAAGCGTGGCAGGGAGAACTCCTAGGCAGGGATATCTGGGAGGAGAAGGACAAGTGAGGGCTTTAGGGTCCCTTCTAATCCTGAGAGTCTGGCAGTGCACTACTCATCCAAGGCCCCGTGCCCACACCGCCCCAGTAAATGCCTCAGGAAGAACAAGTGCTACAAATTCATCAGCAAGAAATGCCATCATCAGCTTAATAATTTAAGCCATTTGGATGAATGGTTTTATGGCCTTTCTTGAAATTGATGTTGTTATTGGCACTGCCCAGTAACATTTCCTTTTTTGGTCTCTTGGTAAAGGTGTGTCTGTATCTTGACTTTGGCTTATGCCTGGCCTGTGTGATGTGTGTAGACTGTAATAGCCCGAGAAAATTAAATTATGGAGTGCATTTTGGAATAAGCACCCTCACAGTTGATTCTGGTGTCTTAGGCTGGCTTTGCCTAGGTTGTCTAGGAAATATTAAATTCAGCCTTTCCCCTCAAACTCAGGATCACGCCCACGCCTCTTGGAGAAGGGAAGAGCACAGTCACCATAGGGCTTGTGCAAGCTCTGACGGCGCACCTGAATGTCAACTCCTTTGCCTGTCTGAGGCAGCCTTCCCAAGGACCGACATTTGGAGTGAAAGGTACTGTCTTTAACAACTAGTGTACTTTTCAGGGCAAAGTTGGGGGGAGAAAATTTTAAAAAGAACATCGTCAACAGATAAAGAGTTAAGACTTTTCAAGGGGACCTGGCACATTTCTTTGCTGCACACTTGGTACGCAGGGGTCACCCCATGTTGGACCCTGGGCATGACGATGAGCAGTGGGGGCTGCCAGGGCTTCCCTGGACCTCTCAGGAGCCTATTCCTGAGGCTGCACTGCTCAAGGCTCCCACCTTGAGAGTTATCACATGTTATCAGGGCCGTCTTTGCCAAGTGGTCTTGAAACACTGCCATCCGTATCGGTGTTTGATCATCCCAGTTCCGGGGAAAGGTCTTTCCCTCTGCTTTAGTCTTGGCTCATTGGAATTGCTGTGTGGGGCCTGCAGAGCTCTCTGGAGACGGACTGGCTGTGGACAGCGAGTTGTGATGAAATTCTGCCCTAGCTGTGGTTGGGCTGATCTCTGGCAGCTTCCCATTCATTACTCCTTCTGCCATGATTTATCATGAAATCATTCCTTAGCTCACTTTACAATCCTGTTTATGGCTAAAATTACAGTTTGTTCTTGGCACTTTGTGGTTTTTTTTTTTTTTTTTTTTAACAATATTTATATTACTGTTAACAAATATGAATAACTCTTATCTCATTAAGTACTGATAACTCATAGCGTGTCATGCATCATGTAGCGGAATGAACACTAGAGTGGGAGCAAGAAGGCCAAGGTTTTAGTCACAGCCGTGTTTCCTACTGCGGTGTGACCCTGGGCAACTTGAGCCAGTCACAGCCTCTCGGAGCCGCATCTCTAAAAGTGTAAACCGCTGAGAGCGGCACCAGGCTCGCCCAGTTGTTGTGAGGATCAAACGCGAAGGCACTTAAAGAGCGAGGATACTGTCAGTTGATACACACGTGGGCGGTGTTGTCCCTGCTTTAAGAAAGAGAAGTTCTTTTATTCCCGTAACCAACGTTTTGAGGGTTAAGCAGCGTGACAAATCTTACATACTGTTATCTGAAATAAATTGAAGTTTATAATTTATTTGTCTGAGGTGGCTATGCGGTGGGGCTCTTTTTGTTTTTGTTTTTTTGGTTTGTTTTGAGACAGAGTCTCGCTTGGTCACCCAGGCTGGAGTGCAGTGGCGTAGTCTCAGCTCCTTCCAACCTCCGCCTCCCGGGTTCAAGTGATTCTCTAGCCTCAGCGTCCCAAGTAGCTGGGATTACAGGCACCCGCCACCATGCCCAGCTAACTTTCGTATTTTTAATAGAGATGGGATTTCATCATGTTGGCCAGGCTGGTCTCAAACTCCTGACCTCAAGTGATCTGCCCTCCTCAGCTTCCCTAAGTGCTGTGATTACAGGCGTGAGCCACCTCACCCAGCCAAAGTGGAATTTTTTTAAACAAAGTTTTCTGAAACATAAAAGCATTAGATAAAGCATAGTCACAGAGACCTAATAATAAATTAACAAAATAATCTCATATCCTGGTTTGACAGCTGCTCTGTTACTTTTACCTTTTTTTTTAAGAAAGGAAATGGAGGTCTTTAAACTGCATAGTTAGACAAAGTATCAACTTTTTTTTTTTTCTGTTCCGCTTGGACATAACCATTAATGTCTCTGTCTGCCTTTCGTTACTTCATCTTGAGTGTGATGCCTCTCTGTTGGGGTTGGGGAGCTGCGTGCCTCAGGCTGTGTCCATTGTGGCAGGTGTACTTGGTGACCCGTTTGAAATGCCACTTGCTCTGTTGTTTAGGAGGAGCCGCCGGTGGTGGATATGCCCAGGTCATCCCCATGGAGGAGGTAAGAACTTGAAGAGGTGTGGGTCAGGTATCACTGTATTTCCTTCCTGACATCCGTCCTCTGCTCCCTCCACACAGGCCCACAGACCCTCATCCACAGTCCCAAAGTCCTCAAGGCTCTGAAACCCCAAAATGTTTGCCTAACTCATGCAGTGGCACACCCTGACATTTACTGTGGTGAGCTTTATATGGATTTTGTCTGTGCTACTTGGTGTGAACATTCGTACATATTGCTGTAGAAAAATTAGTTTTGATTAACAGGTGCTGACTGAGCCCCTGCTTGGGGTGTTTTATAAATAAACTACATGTAAATCACACTGCCTTTCTAAACTCCAAAAAATTCTGAAACCCTGCTGGCCTTGCAGGTCTGGATGAGAGAATGTGCGTCTGTGCCTCCCTCGGTCACCTGCTGTACTGCCAAGTTCACAAAGACCTGATGCTTCCCCCTTTCAGTTCAGGCTCCAGTGCGAGCCTTGGCAGCACAAATATTAAAACTGGAATGACACAGAGATTAGCATGGTCCCTGCATGAAGATGACATGCAAATGTGTGAAGTGTCCCATTTAAAAAAAAAAAAAAAGACTCCAAAATAAAAGAGTTCCAGAGGAAAATGGGCAAAAATAACTGATGTTGTTAATTCTTCCTTTTCTAAAACACCCCCTGCGTTCTGCATTATCTCTTCGTCGCCTGTAACTAACTAGTGACCAGTTCACTTCTACTCTCTGCATCAGCCTCACCATTCGGGCCTGGGCAAGCTTCTGAAACCCAAATCTGAGCGGGTCACTTTCCTGTTCTGTGATTTCTGCTGTTGCCTGTCATCCTTCAGTACAGAACAAGAGGCCCCCATGGCCGGCTGCCCCTGCTTCCCTGTTTGCAGGTCCCCACCTGCCTTCTTTTCTCCCCTGGGTCAAGCTCCTTGCAGATTCTTTTTTTTTTTTTAAGAGACGGGGTTTCTCCATGTTGGCCAGGCTGGTCTTGAACTCCTGACCTCAGGTGATCCACCCGCCCTAGCCTCCCAAAGTGCTGGGATTACAGGCGTAAGCCACCGCACTTGGCCCTTTTTTTTTTTCTTTTTTATTTTTCAGGACAGAGTTTTGCTTTGTTGGCCAGGCTGGAGTGCAGTGGCACAACCTTGGCTCACTGCAACCTCCGCCTTATGGGTTCAAGCAGTTCTCATGCCTCAGCCTCCTGAGTAGCTGGGATTACAGGCGCCCACCACCACACCCAACTAATTTTTGTATTTTTAGTAGAGATGGGGTTTCACCATGTTGGCTCAGGCAGTCCGCTGCTCTCTGCCTTCCAAAGTGCTGGGATTACAGGCATGAGCCACGGCGCCCGGCCCTTACGGACTCTTTTCCTTTTCTCTCTTGGTTCCAGGATTTTCCCATGCCTGGAACATTCTTCCTTTTCTGTCCTGTTTACCCAGCTTAGGCCGTTGCCAAGGTTCTGCTCTACCTTATCCCTCTGTGTTTATGGCTCTCTGGTTCAGTGGCGAGTTGCAGGCCTTTCTTGAGGTCTCAGGTCCCAGCATTTAGCAGAGTGCCCAGCACATAGTAGGAACTTACTAGAAAGTATTTGTTGACTTTAGTCCAGGCATGGTGGCTTATGCCTATAATTCCAGCACTTTGGTAGGCCAAGGCAGGTGGTGCGGATCACGAGGTCGAGAGATTGAGACCATCCTGGCCAGTATGGTGAAACCACATCTCTACTAAAAATACATAAATTAGCAAGGCATGGTGGCACATACCTTTAGTCCCAGCTACGTGGGAGGCTGAGGCAGAAGAATCGCTTGAACCCAGGAGGTGGAAGTTGCAGTGAGCCGAGATCGCGCCAGTGCACTCTAGCCTGGTGACAGAGCGCAACTCCGACTCAAAAATAAAAGAAAGTATTTATTGATTTTGATAAAGGAATACCAGTGCTTACCCATGGAGGCCTGAGTATCAGGGAGGTTAAAAAGAAAATCTGTGTAAACTTCAAGTACTAGGAGTGGGGTGAGAAAGAGTAGTCCAAGGCACTGCCGAGAAAAATCGTGCCAGGCCTCAGGTCTGAATGGGGATGGCTACCATTCGCGAGCCAGGAAGACCCAGAACTAGGAGGCCAAATTACAGATGGCGTATAAGGGACACACGCAGGGGAATGGCTCAGGTTTAGCCAGCAAATTGGAAGGATGTTGATGTCCCACTGTTTTAGGGCATCAGCTGCGTGACTTGGAGGAGAGGGCTACCTTGTTTACTTTTTTATTTTTTTGAGATGGAGTCTTACTCTGTTGCCCTGGCTGAGAGTGCAATGGTGTGATCTCAGCTCGCTGCAACCTCCGCCTCCTGGGTTCAAAGAATTCTCCTGCCTCAGCCTCCCAAGCAGCTGGGAGTGCAGGTGCCCAGCACCATGCCCAGATAATTTTTGTATTTTTAGTAGAGATGGGGTTTCACCATGTTGGTCAGGTCGGTCTTGAACGCCTGACCTCAGGTGACCCACCCACCTCTGCCTCCCAAACTGCTGGGATTACAGGCATGAGCCACAGCATCCAGCCGAGAGGACTACCTTATGGTGGCTGAGTGGGCCAGACACAGGCAGTTTGTTCCTTGAAGCTGAGTGTCTACAGTCTCTTCTTCATCTGTATCCTCCCAGCTCTGAGCACTGTGCCTGACACTTAGTGGATGTTTGTTGACTAAGTGCCATGCACAGACAGTATGTACTGGACAGAACGTGATGAATCACCATATGGGAAAATGTTAGCACAACGAAATAAGAGAGGACACAAACAGATGGAGAAACATTCCATGTTCATGGTCAGGAAGAATCAATATCGTGAAAATGGCCATACTGCCCAAAGTAATTTACAGATTCAATGCTATCCCCATCAAGCTACCAATGACCTTCTTCACACAACTGGAAAAAACCACCTTAAACTTCATACGGAACCAAAAGAGAGCGCGCATAGCCAAGTCAATTCTAAGCAAAAAGAACAAAGCGGGAGGCATCACACTGCCGGACTTCAAACTATACTACAAGGCTACAGTAATCAAAACAGCATGGTACTGGTACCAAAACAGAGATATAGATCAATGGAACAGAACAGAGGTCTCGGAGGCAATACAACATATCTACAACCATCTGATCTTTGACAAACCAGACAAAAACAAGCAACGGGGAAAGGATTCTCTGTTCAATAAATGGTGTTGGGAAAACTGGCTAGCCATGTGCAGAAAGTAGAAACTGGACCCCTTCCTAACACCTTACACTAAAATTAACTCCAGTTGGATTAAAGACTTAAACATAAGACCTAACACCATAAAAACCCTAGAAGAGAATCTAGGCAGGACCATTCAGGACATAGGTGTACGCAAGGACTTCATGACCAAAACACCAAAAGCATTGACAACAAAAGCCAAAATAGACAAATGGGACCTAATCAAACTCCACAGCTTCTGCATAGCAAAAGAAACAGCCATTAGAGTGAAACGGCAACCAACAGAATGGGAAAAAATTTTTGCAGTTTACCTATCTGACAAAGGGCTGATATCCAGAATTTACAAAGAACTAAAACAGATTTACAAGAAAAAAACTAACAAGCCCATTCAAAAGTGGGCAAAGGATATGAACAGGCACTTTACAAAAGAAGACATACATGAGGCCAACAAACATATGAAAAAATGCTCATCATCACTGGTCATCAGAGAAATGCAAATCAAAACAACATTGAGATACCATCTCACGCCAGTTAGAATGGCGATCATTAAAAAATCTGGAGACAACAGATGCTGAAGAGGATGTGGAGAAATAGGAACACTTTTGCACTGTTGGTGGGAGTGTAAATTAGTTCAACCATTGTGGAAGACAGTGTGGCGATTCCTCAAGGACCTAGAAATAGAAATTCCATTTGACCCAGCAATCCCATTACTGGGTATATATCCAAAGGATTACAAATCGTTCTACTATAAGGACACGTGCACATGAATGTTCATTGCAGTACTGTTTACAATAGCAAAGACCTGGAACCAACCCAAATGCCCATTGATGATAGACTGGACAGGGAAAATGTGGCACATATACACCATGGAATATTATGCAGCCATCAAAAATGATGAGTTTGGGTCCTTTGTAAGGACATGGATGAACCTGGAAACCATCATTCTCAGCAAACTGACAGAAGAGCAGAAGATCAAACACCGCATGTTCTCACTCATAGGCGGGTGTTGAACAATGAGAACACATGGACACAGGGAGGGGAGCACTACACACTGGGGTCAGTTGGGGGGAAATAGGGGAGGGACGGTGGGGGGTCGGGAGCTGGGGAGAGATAGCAAGGGGAGAAATGCCAGATGTAGGTGATGGGGAGGAAGGCAGCAAATCACACTGACACGTGTGTGCCTATGCAACAATTTTGCATGTTCTTCACATGTACCCCAAAACCTAAAATGCAATAAAATAAATAAATGGGAGAAAAAAAAAAAGAATAAATTCCAGATGGACTGAGGGATTGAAAGTGAAAGTACTGTGACTGGAAGGATGGGAAGGAGCCGGCCTTGTGTAGAGTGAGGGAGAGCATTCAGCCAGTGGGAACGGCTGTGGGGAAAGCCCTGAGGGAGGAAAGGGCGTGGTCTGTTCCGGGGACTGGAGGACACCAGGGGGACTGGAGGACACCAGGGGGACTGGAGGACACCAGGGCGACCGGAGCCCCGTGGGCCGGCAGGAGTGGGGGTTGAGGTAGAGAAGTGTGCAGGCGCCAGCTCTGTCGGGCGATTGCGATTTGTAGCCAAGAACCTGGATTTTATTTGAAGTTCCAAGGTCAGCTATTGAAGGGATCTTGACAAATAACATGATGCAGATTTTTATTAAAATCACCCGGTCTTCTGTGTGATGAAGGGACCAGGGTGCCTCAGTAGACACGGTGGATCCAGGAAGAAGACTGTGGAAGTAGCCCAGGGAAAGATGGCAGTAGCTTGGCCCAGCATGGGGTCAGTGAGGATGGAAAAGCGCAAAAAACAACATAAGCTTTGTTTGCTGATGTTTGCACGATCAGAGGTTGGGGGTGAGAAAAGGGGAGGATTCAAGGGCGACATCCAGGGGTATTGGCTTGAGCAACTCAGCAGACTCATGTGTTGAGGCAGAGATCGGGGGGTGATGGGTGTGAGGTCTGAACTGTGTGGTGTGGGGTGTGGTGGAGTGTGGTAGTAAGAAGGAGTTTAGAGGCCTGTGAAATATGCAGGTAGACATCAAGTAGACAGTTGGAAAGAAAAAGTTACATTCCAGTGTAAAATGGCCAAAGGGTTCAATAGAAACATCAAAAAAATATATTATTAGCTAAATGAATATTCATCTTCACTAACAATCAAGTAAATAAATCTACATTAAAACCGCTTTTGGCTGGGTGCGGTGGCTCATGCCTGTAATCTCAGCACTTTGGGAGGCCAAGGTGAGCGAATCACGATGTCAAGAGTTCGAGACCAGCCTGGACAACATCGTGAAACCCCGGATCTACTAAAAATAAAAAAAATTACCGGGACATAGTGGCACGCACCTGTAATCCCAGCTACTCAGGAGGCTGAGGCAGGAGAATCACTTGAACCTGGGAGGCGGAGGGTGCAGTGAACCGAGATTACACTACTGCACTTGAGGCCAGGCAACAGAGTAAGACTCCATCTCAAAACCAAACCGAACCACCATCAGTTACCATTTTACTTGTCAAATTGACAAAATTGGATTCTTCAAAATAATTATGATACCAAACTTTGGGAAAGAGATTGAAATGGACTCCCACACACTGCTGGAAAGTGTACACTGAGGAAAACACATCTGGAAGAAGTGTAGAAATATGTATTAAGTGCTTTGCCATGCATATCCTTTGGCCGAATAAATTCGTTTTTAGTGTACCCTAAGGAAAATACGAATATATGAGAAAATAGATAATTTTAAATTAAATATACCTTCACATAGTTTATAACATTAAAAAATGGGGAGATAATAATAGGATATCAAGTTAACTATATTTTGAAGACTAATGATGTAAAAATGCTAGCTATATTGAGAGAGTAAGAGCTAAACTGTAAACTGTTCTGGTGTTATGATACCAATATTTAAAAGTACAATTATATATTAATGAAATATATATAATGTAATTTTTCATGTTTTCTCCAGTGAACATATTTTTATGTTATAAAGTAAAATTTTAACAAGAAAATGTGAATATTTCACTTTCCAAGAAATAAGGAAATGCAGCTTCAAAAGGAATACCACTTTCTTAACTATTAAATTATTTCTTAGTCTAAAAGTTACTTTATTTCTGAAGTAACTGATCTACTAGTAGTGTTTTGCAGGTGACACTTTATCCCTTTCAAAAAGCAATTTGGTGATATTATCAAGATCCCAAGGGCCGGGCTTGGTGGCTCACACCTGGAATGCCAGCCCTTTGGGAGGCTGAAGCGAGAGGATCACTTCAGCCCAGGAGTGTGAGACCAACCTGGGCAACATAGCGAAACCCCATCTCCAAAAAAAATAACAATAACAGAAAGAGAGCTCATTTAACCAAGTAACTACTCTCCTGAAAATATATTACTCATTAGCAATTAATTTTTTTTAAAAAAGGAAAATCTATTTGTGTGTATTCTTTATAACCGTGGCCTTCCTTGTAAAAGTGAATATTTGGTAGTGTAAATATCCAGCCTGAATATTTTGGTACGTCTACCATATGCAGTTTCTATAAACTATACATGAGATTATTGTAGAAGAAATTTTATAAAACTGGACAGCCCACCAGAAGCTAATCCTACAAATGATAATCATGTCTGCTTATGAGACTGGAAGGAAAATAGAAGAATTAGTAGAGTCATAGGGGTAAAATATTCTATTTCTTCAAAATTCTGTAAAATTTTATATTATTTTATTGTTACTATTTATTTTGTGCCCTACCTCATTTCAAAACATGTTTGATGTGATACTATTTTCTAGCGTTATAGAAATAGATACTAGTCATATCTTGTATTCTTATCAAAACAATGAATAAACGTAGTGAGTGAATATAAGGAGACTCATTATTAAACGCATCAGAATGTTTTGCCTTAACCTGAGGATGGAAGAATTTATGATCTGAGTGATTGCTCAAAGTTTCTCTGTTGTCATGTGGAAAACCTTGACCTTGATTTTCTCATTTAGGCGTCCCTATAGACTCAGCTTATTATAAGGATATGTAATTTGCATGTTATTTTATTTATTCAATCCTTGAATTCCACAATAGTTGTTTAAAAAAATAGTCTCAGCTGGTACAGTGGCCCAGGAGTTCATGACCAGCCTAGACAACATCGCAAGACCCCCATCTCTACAGAAAATTCGAAAATTTGCCACAATGGCATGCATCTATAGTCCCAGCCTACTCAGTAGGCTGAGGTGAGAGTATTGCTTGAGCCCAGGATTTGAGGATCCAGTGAACTATGATTATGCCACTGCACTCCAGCCTGGGACACAAAGCGAGACTATATTTCTGAAAATAAATAAATAGAAAGATACCTTATTTCTCTAGTTCAACCTTCACTTGACTGGAGACATCCATGCCATCACAGCTGCCAATAACTTGCTGGCTGCCGCCATCGACACCAGGATTCTGCATGAAAACACGCAAACTGATAAGGTGAGAAGGATTCCTTGCTGGCCATTTTGGGTATTGTATCCTGGAATTCCTGGATACTTAAGGAGTTTGTGGAAAGAATTCCGGTGCCTGCAAACTCGGAAAGGTTATTCAATTCAATTTTGTGATTTTTACGTATCCCTGTTTCCCAAGGAGAAGCAGCCATCCTTTGGTTAGATTCTCAAATGGGTTTATGAGCACTGCCAAGTTATTGAGAGAATTGTACTACGTTGTAAAAGCCAAATATTATCTGAGATGAGTCGTTAGTTTTAAAGACAGTAGGTAGACCAGTTCTCTTCATTCTGGCTGTAGGTACAATCTCTAGTCTGTTCTAAGGGGATTGGACAGATGCCGTTTTAAGAATAGTGTTATGGGGAGCTATATTGGATGTGCTGAAAAGATGTCAGAGACCCTTACTGGGCTTCTTGTGCATGTAGGTTATGAGTTAAACCACACCCCCAAAAGAGACCGCCCACCAGAAGCTAGTCCCTCATAGACATGGGACATAGATAAAAGGGGTACTTTCCGGCGTGTTTTACAACAAGGGTCCTCATTTTCTAAAATTAAAGTAATTCCTTAGTGAGTCTTTGCAGCACAATCCAGATACATCTTCCTTTTGTAGTTGCAGCAATATAGATTAAGAAATACATTTATGCAAACTCTTTGCAATGTGTGTTATTTCAGATCTCGTCAGTTTTATGAAAATGACAGAATTGAAGCCTATGTTGTTTATATTAGCCCACACACTTTAATAGGGTCTTTTATCTAAATAGTTCAGTTATGAATGCAGTGAACTTTTTTCATGTACTGTGAATTGTCCAAGTTCATGGACAGTTAACTTTTGTGGGGTCTCATTTTTGTTTTGTGTTTTTAGGCTCTGTATAATCGGCTGGTTCCTTTAGTGAATGGTGTCAGAGAATTTTCAGAAATCCAGCTTGCTCGGCTAAAAGTAAGTTTCCAGATAGCAATTCTTTAAAAAGTAAATATCCTAGAAACACACCAGAAAGATTGTCAAAACCTGAAATTTTCAATTTGATTTGATTCTGGTTCTCTGATATCCTTTTGGGTATTAAACTCTATAGAGACAGAACACTGGAGCGGAGAGGGCACAGAGTTCAAAGCCTGAAACCTGATTCTACATGAAAGAGCCAGGTGGACAAATTAATTAACATTTTTCAGTCTCAGTTTCTTTTTCTATGACATGAGTGTCCTGTTTTGCTAATTTATGAGTACCCTAGTCAACTGACAGATTAGCTGAGCACAGGGGCACATACCTATAGTTTGAACTACTCATGATTCTGACATGAGAGGTTTGCTTGAGCCAAGGAGTTTACGGTTATAGTGCACCATGATGGCACCTGTAAATAGTCACTGCACACCAGCCTGGGCAGCATAGCAAGGTCTCATCTCTTGAAAAAATTAACAAATTAGAATTTTTGGTGAGTCCTCTTTCTAAAGTGAAACATTTTTATGACACCTATCAAATTTCTAGGAAATTATAAGATAACCTTTGAAAACTCATCTATGGTTTTTTGTTTGTTTGTTTTGTTTTGTTTTTTGAGACAGAGTTTCACTCTTGTTGTCCCTGGCGTGCAGTGGCATGATCTCGGCTCACTGCAACCTCCGCCTTCCTGGTTCAAGTGATTCTCCTGTCTCAGCCTCCTAAGTAGCTGTGATTACAGGCACTTACCACCGTGCCTGGCTAATTTTTGTATTTTTAGTAGAGATGGGGTTTTACCATGTTGGCCAGGCTGGTCTCAAACTCCTGACCTCAGGTGATCCATCTGCCTTGGCCTCCCAAAGTGCTGGGATTACAGGCATGAGCCACTGCGCCCAGCCTCATCTATGTTTTTGTTGGAGCAAACACTACAATTACACGTGTGAATGCCATCTTAATTCTTAAAACCTGTGTTATCTTTTTTCTGATGATATTTGCTGCCTCCGATCTTCTAATCATATTGGTTGCTACTAGCTCTGTTTCAGAGACTAGACCATAACCCTAAATGGTATAACTTATAACCCCTGGTTGGCATTAGTGGTTTTAAAAATTCACCTCCTGCTTCTTACTGAACCAAGTTCAGTGTGTTGAAAGTGGTGAGTAATCCCATCCTTACTACACCCTGTAGCTGTAACAACATGCAGTTTCTGCTTCCCAGATCTTTTTTATGCTTCATCATTAAAAATCACTTTCTTTTTGTGTGTGTGGCAGTCTTGCTCTGTCGCCTAGGCCGGAGTGCAATGGCGCAATCTTGGCTCACTGTAACTTCTGCCTCCCAGGTGCAAGCAATTCTCCTGCTTCAGCCTTCAGTAGCTGGGATTACAGGTGCCCACCACCACGACAGCTAATTTTTGTATTTTTAGTAGAGAAGGGATATGATCATCCATGTTAGCCAGGCTGGTCTCGAACTCCTGACCTCAGGTGATCCACCTGTCTCAATCTCCTGAAGTGTCGGGATTACAGGCGTGAGCTACTACACCCAGCCAAAAATTACTTTCTTAGGACGTTTTGTTTACACAAAATCAATAGGAAGATTTCTTGGCCTGGCATAGTGGCTCACAACTTTAATCCCAGCACTTAGCCAGGCGAGGACAAGAGGATTGCTTGAGCCCAAGAGTTCATTACCAGCCCAAGCAATATAGCAAGACACCCATCTCTACAAAAAATTTAAAAATTGGCCAGACATTAAAAGTTTTAATTTTTTTTTCTCCTCCATGAATTAGGAATAATTTACTTTGAAATATAGAAATAAACTTAAATTACTGGTATTTGTATTTGAAAATAACTAATGAACTGGGGCATCAGTTATATAGACAGCAGTTTATGTGTCTTCTGAGCAGGGTCCCTGGTGAAGCAGCCAGCAGCAGGCACAAGTTGTAGTTAGTTGTATGCTGTCAACCCAGGACATCTTCACATCAATGCATTTCAGACTTTGTTACAAATTCCCAGCATCTTACACTTATAGAAGAAATCTGGCCCTAGGCATTTGTCCGATTTGGCCTAACCTACAATTCATTCAAAGTTCAGTTTAGTTTTTTTGTTTGTTTGTTTTTGTTTTGTTTTGTTTTTTTGGGTGGGGTGGAGGCAGAGTCTTGCTCTGTTGCCCAGGCTAGAGTACAATGGCATGATCTCAGCTCCCTGCAACCTCCACCTCCCAGGTTCAAGCAGCCCTCCTGCCTCAGCCTCCCAAGTAGCTGGGGTTACAGGTGCTCTCCACCATGCCTGGCTAATTAAAAAAAAAAAAATTTGTGTGTGTTTTTAGTAGAGATGGTGTTTCACCATGTTGGCCAGTCTGGTCTCGAACTCCTGACCTCAGGTGATCTGCCTGCCTCAACCTTCCAAAGTGCTGGGATTGCAGGTGTGAGCCACTGTGCTCAGCCCAGTTTTATTTTTTAAAAGGCTTTACTAATCACAGAGAAAAGTAAATTAGAGGGATATTTTTGGTGACCTTTTCTTCTCAAACTTCTCACATTTTTTCTTCTTAATCATTAGAAATTGGGAATAAATAAGACTGATCCAAGCACACTGACAGAAGAGGAAGTGAGTAAATTTGCCCGTCTCAGCATCGACCCGTCTACCATCACGTGGCAGAGAGGTGGGTGCTGGGGAGATGCCAGCAGGCTGATGGCCGAAGCTCTTAGATTAAATTCAGAAACTCACAGCTTGATCCTGTGCAGTGGTCTTCCCAGCCTGTGCTTCATATTCTCACCATTTACTTCAGTGATTTTATCTTACCACCCTCTTCTCTTAGCCTTGCCTCCAAACAAAATTTCTCTCTGGACTCAATCCCATCTACTCCTGTGTCTTCCAAATTTCCAAGGAAAATTACCTAATTTTCTCTTCAGTTTCTCTCATCTTTGGCCTCTTGTCTCTATATTAAGTAAAAACAAACAAACTGTAAAAAAAGTTTAAAAAAGACCACACCTCCCCGGCTTTGTCCTGTTCCTCCTCCACCCACCATCTCACCTTCTTGCGTTCACTTCCTTACCACTGGCTCTCGGTGTGTTTCCAGTGCTGGATTTTCCTCCATATCTGATATGTGCTTCCACCTGTTTACAATGCTTCCCTCCACCACTTCAAATGCAGGTGGATGGACTCCCCGTGAGCTCTCCACCACCTCGACTTCCCTGCTTCCCTCTCGGCTGTGATGTTCCCTTCCTTCTCCTACACTGGCCTCAGTCTTATAGCTCACTGTGGGATGGGACAGAGGGCAAGCACTAAATGGGAAGTCAGTATCCCTGAGTGTGTCTTTTCTCTGCCACTGATTCACCGTATGACCTTGAGCAAGTCACATGCATGCTGTTGGCATTGGAAATGGAGATGGTCACATACGCTGCACAGAAATACAGCAAGCACACTTCAAGCACCTTCTACGGCTGTAGAAATGTTCGATGGCATGGATTCCTGATCCTTCCTCGATTATTCATCTCATACCTCTCCCCTCAGTTTACCACTTTATTCTCACATTTGGAGCATATTTATGAGATGTGCATTTTATAGCAGCTCCAGACTGATAGATTTCCTCGCTTCCGTTTCCATCCCCTAGTTCAGAGGGTTCACGTTAACAGAGATACCCACTTGTGGTCAGAGGCCTCCAGTGGCTCCCACATCCTGGGTGATAGAGTGGCCATCGCAGAGCTTGGCCTTCAGGACATCCGCAGTGGCTTCCCTCCCTAAGCTCCCTGCCTACTTTCTACCCAGGAGGGCCTACCTCCGTCCCGCTGCCAGCCCTGGCTGGGCCATCTCCATCCCGTCTCCTGCCTAGGCCACTCTTGCCCTCCAAGATGAGCCCAGGTCTTGCCCCTTCTGGGAATTTCCTTCCTGGAAATCCACATACCCAGTCCATTAAGAATTTAGTGTTTTCTCACAAACCATGAGGTGGAGAGAGAAACACCAGAGACTAAGCCTTGGCTCCGCCATTTATGAGCTGCACAACTTTGGACAGACGACTGATTCAGTTTCCTCATCTTTAAAATGGAATCATAGTTCCAGCTTCCAAGCTGGGGTGCTTCACTGAAACACAAGCATCCTTTCCTGACCCAAAAGCTGTGCCCACACGATCAATGAAGTCACTTTGGTGATAGTTGTATTGAGTAGTGTTTTTTTTTCCTTTCTTTTTTTGAGACAGTCTCGCTCTGTCACCCAGGCTGGAGTACGGTGGCACGATCTCAGCTCATTGCAACTTCCACCTCCTGGGTTCAAGTGATTCTTCTGCCTCAGCCTCCTGAGTAGCTGGGACTACTGGCGTACGCCAACACGCCTGGCTAATTTTTGTATTTTTAGTAGAGATATGGTTTCACTATGTTGACCAGGCTGGTCTTGAACTCCTGACCGTGTGATCCACCCACTTCGGCCTCCCAAAATGCTGGGATTACAGGCGTGAGTCACAGTGCCCGGCCTGAGTAGGGTTTTTTGTTTGTTTGTTTTTGTATTTTTTGTGGAGATGGGATTTCATCATGTTGCCCAGGCTGGTCTCAAACTCCTGAGCTCAAGCGATCTGCCCGCCTTGGCCTCTCAAAGTGCTGGGATAATAGGCGTGAGCCACCACACCCAGCCTGCAAACTTTTAAGGATACATTTTTCATTTTGAAATAAGTAATAACATTATAGAGATTTTGGAAATGCCTCAAAAGAATTTCAAAAACCTTGCTATACTAATAAAACTACTATTCATAGATTTTTGTGTGCATCTAGTTTTTTGGTATGACTCTAGTTATAACTTAAGTGTGTAGATTTTATATGCTATGTGTTTCATTTATGCCGTAAGTATTTTATATTTTGTTGTCTTTGTTGTAATGGCCATTTAAAATACTCTAGAATATTCCTTTGTGGATGAACCACAGCTTATGTAAGCATGCCTCAGTTCTTGAAAGCACCAATAGCATTTGAAATAATGGACATGAATACTTTGAGCATTTTATTAAGGAGCCTACATATTTTCTCTGAATTTTTTTTAGAACTAGGAAGATTTATTATTAAAACATCATGATGTCCAAAATGTATTGTCATCTGTTTTTTTTCCAAGGCATTTGTGATTTTGTGTTATTCTTCAAAACTGTTTTGGAGGTTTACTGATGACAGAAAAATCACAAAGGTGGAAATTAGTGTGTTTTAACCAAACATGTGGAGGTGCTAAAAGAGAGAGTTTTATGCCAGTTGGCATTCTTCTGTTTCTGCTTTGGGGCTCCAGCCGGAGCAGCCATCAGAAACAGGGCAAGGCTCAGACATAGCTCTTGGAAGAGAAAGTCTACATCATCTTTTTACCTGGGGCTGGTATGCAATTGGTTTCTCTCTGTGGAGCTAGGAAGGATTAAAACATTCTGTGGTTGTGAATCACTTTTAATGGAAGTGACAATTTACAAAATTATTCCAAAAAAGAATTCAATTCTGTTATCGTTCAGGGCACTGAAGTAAAGAAAACTTTATTGCTGTGGACAAGGTACCTGGGTCAGAGGAATCTGGAATGACATTTGATAAGTTGTTTGGCTCTTATTGCCATGAATTAATATCAGAAATAGGACTCTTCATCAAAAGAATGGAGAACAGTTACTAGTAGGGTTTTTGGCTTAAACCTCGAGCTAACGGAACTTTTGTGATGAGACTGGATCTTTATTTGATTTGACAACTAGAGCAGGACACTCGGGGTGCAGGGGGATGGGAATGAACCCTTCTTGTCAGGCCATATGGATGCTGCGCCATTTAATGACCACCCCCTCCTTTCAGCCTGTGTACAAGTCTAATGATTGTTTCATCTTACACCTCATAAGTTTAAAGGCCTCATGTTCCTGGAACCAGAGTGGGACAAGGAACCCACAGACCTTTCCAGAAATGCTTAACATAAGCAGAAGAAAATGTGGACATAGGGCCATTTTGTTACAGAGCACAATTTTGCACAAGTGGGCAGGTTGGAGCCCCTCAATACATAGCCCAGGAGCTAGTAAGTGTCTGTTATTCCATTTTTAGTTCTATCCTTCAGAGACCAAGAATTCCGTTTTGGATCACTAACATAGGGTTACTTTCTAGTATCTTTCTTGTGGCCTGGAATTTAACCTCCACATTTCTTTTTTCTTTCTTTTTTTGAGACAGAGTCTTGCTTTGTCACCAGGCTGGAGTGCATGGTGTGACCTCGGCTCACTGCACCCTCTGCCTCTTGAGTACAAGTGATTCTCCTGCCTCAGCCTCAGCCTCCCAAGTAGTTGGGGTTACAGGCATGCGCCACCGCACTCAGCTAATTTTTTTATTTTTAGTAGAGATGGGGTTTCACCATCTTAGCCAGATGGTCTCAATCTCTCGACCTTGTGATCCACCTTCTGCGGCCTCCCACAGCGCTGGGATTACAGACGTGAACCACCATGCCTGGCCAAATTTTTTATTTTTAGTAGAGACGAGGTTTCACCATGTTGGCCAGGATGATCTTGATTTCTTGACCTCGTGATCCACCTGCCTCATCCTCCCAATTTGCTGGGATTACAGGAGTAAGCCACTGCACCCAGCTAACCTCCACATTTCTTAGGTATCACTGATGCTGTTACATGTCTCTTTCCCTACATAATCAAAATCCTGGTGGATTGCAAGACTCTCTGCTTCCTAGGCCACAAGTAAGCTTTGGAGGCCACTGATTCTAGTTGATCTTGCCAGATAATTTTTTTCTTGTTTTCTGTTTGCTAAATAAAAACAGCTGAATTTCTCTCGTTGATTTTAAAGAAATTTAATAAAAAGATCCCCTCAATCTGGCACCAAGATTGTGCATGCTATGTAGCAGGAAAGATGTTTTTACTTGATTGACTGTGCACCTTATATACATCTTGGGAAGAATAGGTGGCTGATGATGCTATTGAGAAGCAGGCCTGTTATTTTGTATTTGCTCTGTGTATAGCTGAAAACCTCATACAGGAGGTTTCTGTGAGGTGTGAGTGTGTGTGTAAGAGAGGGGGAGCTTGTTACAAAAACTAACAGCCGCCGTGTCAGGGAGCAGCCACAGGCCAAGAGGACAAGCTGGCCTGCTAGTGCTCTGCGTGTGAAAGAAAAGGTTAGCTTTCTTCTTTCTTCCTTGTGCGGATTCCTATAGTCCCAAATACCGAATTTCCGTCACTGTTTTCATCAGTGCCATATCGTGCACATTGAATAAAATGGATCTAAGTTGTCAATGTAGACAGCTTGTTATTTGAAGCTGCATAAATTAGCAAAGTCAGTGTTCTGGTGTTGTTTTGTTGCATTGGTATTCACTAAATCAAATCTAATTTTCACAAAATGTAAGTAAGTGCAATTCTTGTTTTTTGTTATGTTTTGTTTTGTTTTGAGACAGAGTCTTGGCCGGGTACAGCGGCTCATGCCTGTAATCTCAGCACCTTGGGAGGCTGAGGCAGGTGGATCACCTGAGGTCAGGAGTTCGAGACCAGCCTGGCCAACATGGCAAAACCCCATCTCTACTAAAAATACAAAAAATTAGCCAGGTGTGGTGGCTGGCACCTGTTATTCCAGCTACTCTGGAGGCTGAGGCGGGAGAATGGCTAGAACCCAAGAGGTAGAGGTTGTAGTGAGCTGAAATCACACCATTGCAGTCCAGCCTGGGTGACAGAGTGAGAATCTGTCTCAAAAAACAAAAAAGACACAAGCTCTCACCTCCATTTCCCAAATGAAAGTGCAGAGACACAATCATGTTCATTGTAGCCTCAACCTCCCAGACTCAAGCGATCCTTCTACCTCATTTTTTATTCTTTACTCCCACTGTTTCCCAGGGTGTTCTCAAATTCCCGGGCGATCCTCCCACCTTGGCCTCCCAAAGTGCTGGGATGACAGGTGTGTGCCACCATGCCCAATCAACAGCTGAAATTCAAATAAGCCAATGAGGAAAATGAAGAGGACTGGTGCCTCTTCTAATCACGTTGACTTTTCCTCCCAATACTGCTTTATTTGCTTTTGGTTTGTAGAATTGTGGTAAAATAGACATAACATAATATTTTCTATCCATTTGTCAGCACACAACTCATGGCATTAAATACATTCACAATGATTACACTACCATCACTATACCCAGAACCTTTTCATCATCCCCAACAAAAGCTCCTTATCCAGTAAATAATTACTCCCCTCTTCTGTTCCTGCCTATTCTAAGTACCTGATGTAAGTGGACTCATATAGTATTTGCCTTTCTGTATCTGGCTTATTTTACTCTGCACAGTGTTTTCAACATCCATTCATGTATCAACACGACCTTCTTTTATAGCCGTATGATATGCCATTGCCTGTCTGTGCCACCTTTTGTTTATCCATTCACCTGTTGGTCTCTCTCCTTTTGACTGTTTTGAATAGTGCTGTTCTGAACATGGGCATACAGATTTCTAAGTGTCTCCTTTCAGTTCTTTTGGGTAATACTGAAAAGGGAAGTTGCTGGGGTTTCTTTTTTTGTTTTTTCAGTCAGAGTCTCGCTGTGTCGCCTAGGCTGGAGTGTAGTGGCACGTTCTGGGCTCACTGCCCCAGGCTGGAGTGCAGTGGTACGTTCTTGGCTCACTGCAACCTCTGCCTCCCGGTTCAAGTGATTCTCCTGTTTCAACCTCCAGAGTAGCTGGGATTGCAGGCAGGTGCCACCACACCCAGCTGATTTTTTATTTTTAGTAGAGACAGGGTTTCACCATGTTAGTCAGGCCAGTCTCGAACTCATGACCTTGTGATCAACCCACCTTGGCCTCCCAAAAAAAGCCTCTAAAAAAAGGCTGGGATTACAGGCCTGAACCACAATGTCCAACCTGCTGGTTGTTTTATGTTCCACCTTTTGAGAAAACTGGATTGGCTTCTATGACTTGGGTTTCATCATAATACCCCTTATCTTCCTGTGGCACTTATCACTAGTGGTTGCTTTCTCTTTCTTTCTTTCTTTTATTTTTTTTGAGATAGAATCTCATTCTGTCTCCCAGGCTGGAGTGCAGTGGCGTGATCTCAGTTCACTGCAACCTCCACCTCCAAGTTCAAGCAACTCTCCTGCCTCAGCCTACTGTGTAGCTGGGATCACAGGAGCCCACCACCATGCCTGGCTAATTTTTGCATTTTTAGTAGAGACGGGTTTCACCATGTTGGCCGGGCTTGTCTTGACTCCTGACCTCAAGTGATCCCCCACCTCGGCCTCCCACAGTGCTGGGATTACAGGCGTGAGCCACCATGCCCTGCCGCTAGTGGATGTTGTTTTATTTGATTCTTTCTCTGTGTCTACGCACTAGGCGGTCAGCTTGGGGGAGCCTGCCCTTGTCTCTTTTACCCTCTGCAACTTCCCGAGCATCAGAACAATGTCAGACATACACCAGGTGGTGGGTCCATATTTGCTGACTGAAGAACTAATCCGTTCTCTTTCAGTATTGGATACCAACGACCGATTTCTACGAAAAATAACCATCGGGCAGGGAAGCACAGAGAAGGGCTATTCCCGGCAGGTAGGTGGTGCCTTCTTACTGGGATTGGCTGTGTTCTTATGTCCGTTTCCACTGGCCCGGGAGGTCACTCTTTGCCTTTCTCTTCTCATCCCCAACCTGTTGTGGCCAGTGGTTCTCCCACTGTTTCATGCTCTCAGCAGGGCTGGGAGAGGATCAGAAGACACGGAGGCTCCAGTGTCTTTTTACCAGCTTTTCCATGTATGTTAATTTCATTTTTTTCATGTATATTTCAAATTGTGTTTCTAGAAAGAGCTGCTCAGGGTGTTCCTTGAATATAAATTCTTACTTGTTTTATTGGGAACCCACCCAGGTAATACTACATCTGCATAACTGATAAAAGAAAATCTCAGACACATTACTCAAATTTTACGTATCAAAGAACAAACACCTAATTATTAGACTTTATAGCATGAGGAGTTTTTTTTTTTTTTTTTTTTAAAGGATAGTGGCTTATTACTCATACAGAGAATGCAGGAGAAAAATTATGATGTCTGCCTTCACTGTAATAGATTTTTCATGTGTGTCAATGGCACTTAGGGAATACAAATTAATTTCATGATTTTTCGTCCAGGCACAGTGGGCTTCTAAATTGTGTTGTATTGTTTTTTCTTTTTTTTTTTTTTGAATTGGTTATAAACTTTACATTTTAGAACAGTTTTAGATTTATGTCCTTTATGTTGTCTTTATTAGTGAAAGAAGAGTCACTTGTACTATAATAACCAATCCTTATACCAGATAGACTTGTGACCTTTTGAAATGTCTTGAATTAAAAAGTGAGTAAATACAGGCATTGCCTCAGGAAGAGAAACTAAGTTCGTGGACCTCCTCTCCTACCAGTCCTGGAACTTACACATACACACACAGAGATTTCCAGTATCCATGCTAGCAAACTGCAATCATTGCCATGAAGTTTTAGAAATTTCTGAAAAATAGGAAGATGAAATTAGATTGATGGAGAAAAGGACAGCCCAAACTATAGTGGGCTTAGATCCTTAACAGGCATTCTTGCTCTTCATGTTCCTCAGCCTCTCCTGCTGAAGTGGGAGATTTATAAGAAAAGAGGTTATTCCCTTTTTTATTTATTGCTGTATTCCCTATGCTCAGAACAGAACTTTGTTACATATAGTAGTAGGTGTTAAGTAAATGTCTGTCCGACAAATGAGTAGAATAATTAAGACAGTTTATGGATATAGAAGTAAAATGCCAACATGGAAGGATATTCACGAGTAGTCATAAAACTGTAGACTGAAACAATCAAGTATCATTTACCTAGGAGTTTATCAAGTAAAAACAGTAGATACTAAATGCTAGTGAGGATGCAAGGAAATGGGGACATGGGAGTAGAAATCCTTTTTTGATGAGTTTGTTATTACTAAAATTTGAAATGACCCAACCATTACAACTTTCGTACTAAAAGTATTTTAATAAAAAGAAGAAGAAGAAGATGTGTTAGATGCAGAAACAATTCTATGTATTAGGATATCTGTTGTGGCATTATTTACTGTGGTGAGAATTTGAAACAATCCAAATGTCCAACAGTAGGGATGGTTGCCTATATTTGGTTTGTCATTTTGTATCACGGGAGAGTTGAAATTAATCAATGTGTGTATAGGTGTCGTGAGGAGAGTAGAGAGCTCTCATACCCATTGGAAAGGTTTTAAAAACCATTTAAGAAATTTGAAGTAAAATACTGACATTGTAAACGTGTTTATGTTAAGAAAAACCCAGCGTGCTTACTTACATTCTAGGCACTTATAGCCTATTTATGTACATAAGTGCATAGCATGAAAAGTAGAAAGATGTGCAGAGCATTAGTTGCCTGTGGAAAGAGGATTGGGAATGAAAGCGAGTATTGAAAAGGCCCTTTCTCTGCATATTTTTGTGCTGGTTAGGCACTGGAAAGATGGAAGATTCACAGTGGCCTTCATTTAAGTGCCTACCCTGTGCATTGTATTAACATTTCCATTATATACATTAGCACATTTCATTTGTAAAGCTGATTTACAAATGAGGAAATTGGGATGCTATGTTAAAAATCTTGCCCAAGGCTATATCTTGTATTGCTTTGTGCATAGATATTTTTAAGTAAAAAGGGATTATGGTGTATTTAAGAGTTTTAACTGCTTCTTATTTATCTTAAGACTGTAGTGAAGACAGCTTTTTAGGTCAATAAAGGTAGATCTGTAGCATCAGTTTTAATGGCTATGTCATGTCTCGCAGAGGTACTGTAATGGATTCAACCAGTTCCCTGTTGATGAGCGTGTAGATTGCAGATTGGGGCTATCACAAGTAAGCTGTAGTAAGTATACACACATTTTTGTGTGTGTACTTGTTGGCAATACCCTTAGGATATTATTCCAGAGGTATGATTACAGAGTCAGAGGATACAGTTTTCGAATGTTGACATATATTTTGACAGTACCTTCCAGGAAATTCATATCAATTCACATCTTAGCCAACAGCCCACGTTAGCCTTTGTTTAAATTTGTGCTAAATCCCTCATTTGTCCTATTGTGATTGTTATGCATTGCATGCCTATATCAGAATATTTCATGTGATCCATAAATATATACACCCACTATATACCTACGAAATGAAAAAGTAAATGCTAAATCAATAAACCTGTGATAAGCTGATAAAAATAAAAGTTTTATTTGCATCTTTATATGATTTTGAAAAATTTTATTTGCAAAACAAAATGAGCAGCCTTCCACTATGCACATCATTTAGTCATTAAAGTGAATGAATGATATTTCACTTGACCCAATTGGTTTCATGTTTTGATGCTCCAGATGTGGAACTTTGTAATTGTAACAATTACAAATGAAGACCTTGAATATGGATTATATATTCTTATTTACACAGCTAATATTTCAAGAATATGTCTAATCTCATGTTTTGTATTGAGAAAAATCTCAATATTTTTTAGTCATTTTCTCATATGCACTGCTTATACTGGAATGGTAGTATAGAGAACCCTAAATTTCATGCAATGAAAAACCACTTATGTTTGAAATGAGTTATATTGAGAATGCCATAATTGAATGTAGTTGTATATGACTTCCAGGTAATATTTTTCACTAAGTCAGTGCCTAATGCAATCTCAACCAGGAAGTAGCCAGAAAGCTCCTCATTTCCTTCATTTCCTTACTTGTCAGTGATGGAAATGGAGAATAAAATGTCTCATAAGGTGACCCCACCAGGGCACAGCCATTCTTTCTCTGCGTAAGCTTGACCTTGTCTGGCTCACACTCCCTTTGGAAAGAAGAGAATTAAGCTGGGATGTAATGAAGTGGTTCTGTCCAGAGAAATGTTCCTAGTGGCTGAATTATGAGGAGGAGGAAGTACACACTCCTGTGTCCCTTTGATTTCATGTTGGACTTTGTACAAATATGGAGCCAGAGCCAAGAGATGGGAACAGGAAGTCTTAGGAACTTTTTGCAAAAAGTCTCTGCTCTCTAAGCTTTCACTACTGAAAGCTTCAAGATCTGATGTGGCCATACCCTCCCAGGCAGCTGAAAATTCAGTCTGTGTCACCAGTTGACTGGAGTGCCCTCCCTGCTGTGTTGAGATCCAGATCTGGGATCATAGTCTCACATGCAGGAAGCCAGCATCTTTCATTGTCCCTCATCTCTGTGCCAGACAGACAAATGCAGACACCTTGACAGACCGATTACTGACAGGGAAGGAGGTCCACAGGCTGGTCATTAATTGATTCAATGTGTATTGCATGCCTGCTGGGTTTCATGCTCCGTGCTCTGAATTCAGAAGTGAGCCTGCCTAATACAGTCCCTGCCTTCATGGCACTTATGGTCCAGTGGTAGAGACACACCCTAGACAGATAATGACATTAGTAATCAATTAAGCCTGAGACATGCTACAACAGCAAACCATGTGGTGGCACTGTGGGCGGGTGTGATGGGGGCCTAACCCAGCCCACCCTTTGCTGACATAGAGAATGGCAAAGAGTATGTTCCCCCGGGACACCACCCAGGGAGCACCAGGCACAAACCTACATGGTCTAGACATGCAGAAAAGTGATGGGATTGCATTCATGGCCTTTTGAGGATAGATTCCCTGGGCCTGCAGTTGCTTCATGGCTGAAATCCAGCTCCTTGTGGGAACGGGCATCCCAGTGGTGCTGCCACTGACCACTACCTGTGCTTGGGCTGGTTCAGGCGCAGTTTGACATCACGGTGGCCAGCGAGATCATGGCGGTGCTGGCCCTGACGGACAGCCTCGCAGACATGAAGGCCCGGCTGGGAAGGATGGTGGTGGCCAGTGACAAAAGCGGACAGCCTGTGACAGCAGATGATTTGGTGAGTGTTTCCAACCCAGAAGCTCCAGGGAGTGGGTTGTCCTTGTTCTTTGTTACCGAAAGAAAGGTTTTCTTCCTTTTATCAGTGGGTATAATGAGGATCCAGAAGTTTCCACACACACATTTCTTCCCTCACAAGCACATCTGACCGCTTCCTAGTGTTCTCATAGTCATATGTGATGTGCTTACACCTGGCTGCACCAAAACATGTGAAATTGATTTCTGGAGCTTTCCACCATCCTTGCTAATCCTGATCTCTGCTTCTGTCTGGGCTGGGAAGGGGTCATCCCCTTACAGTCACTTGGTAGCTTTTAAAAAATATGCCACTGGCCAGGCTTACTGGCTCCCGCCTGTAATCCCAGCACTTTGGGAGGCCGAGGTGGGTGGATCATGAGTCAGGAGTTCAAGACCAGCCTGGCCAAGGTGGTGAAACCCCGTCTCTACTAAAAAATATAATAAATAGCCAAGCGTGGTGGCGGGTGCCTGTAGTCCCAGCTACTCAGGAGCCTGAGGCAGGAGAATTGCCTGAACCTGGGAGGCGGAGGTTGCAGCAAGCTAAGATCTTGCCACCGCACTCCAGCCTGGGTGACGGATGAGACTCCATTTAAAAAAAAAAAAAAACAGTGCCATTTATGCCTGCCTGAAATTGAGATCAAATCACATTTCCAATGAACAGAAGGAAGGGGCTCTGCTTTCATGAATAGGAAGATAAAGTTGGCACATTTCTGGCAACAGCCTGGCATATTATTTAAGTTGGAGCCTTACATTTGGGTTTCATATTATAAAAGCAAATCTCTGCATTAATCAGTCTTGCTTTTCTAGTTCCCCTTGGAGTAGTGCAATGCTTTCATGGTTACCTTTTTGGTTACCTGACTGTTTTTCAGCTGTTTTTGAAGAACCAAATCTGAGTCATCTCATAGGTCTTGTTAAGTAACTTCAATAGATCAATTTATGTCAGCAGTCTATGGAATATTTAGTATAAAACTTAAAGAGAAAACCCTCAGGTTACTATACAAGTGCTGCTTTATTAAAATTACCCAAATCTCACTATTTCTATCTAAACTAACATACCACCGTTTCTGTCTAAGTACATTGCTCTGTATTTTATTAATTTGTATAGCAATAAATATGTATCAGGAACAGTTTTGAAACTTAATCCTCAAATACTACTTTCTTAAATTTATTTGTTTGCTTATTTATTTTTATTTATTTTTTTGAGTGAGAGTTTCACTCTTGTTGCCCAGGCTGGAGTACAATGGCACGATCTTGGCTTGCTGCAACCTCCGCCTCCCAGGTTCTGGTGATTCTCTTGCCTCAGCCTCCCAAATAGCTGGGATTATAGGTGCCCACCACCATGCCTGGCTAATTTTTATATTTTTAGTAGAGACACGGTTTCACCATGTTGGCCAGGCTGGTCTTGAACTCCTCAGGTGATCTGCCCACCTCAGCCTCCCAAAGTGCTGGGATTACAGGTGTGAGCCACCATGCCCAGCCCTTAAATTTATTTTTATGTGAGTATATGATAAAAATCTTGAATCTGGAAGAAACCCAAAGGTTAGTCTTTTTCATTATCTTTTGTGTTTTTTCTTTTAGTTATCTTTCGTGTTTCTTGTTTGCACAAAGTACCTTATTTATTCAAATTGTGCTTCACCCGGTGGGAGCTATCGAGAGTTGACCACCCATAGAAAATTGAGGGAGGATTTTAGGAACTGCTGAAAGTTTCTGCCACATGCATGATTCTGACATACCCTGGAAGAATGCATCCGAGCCCTCCCCACATGGACACAGAGCATGGAATGCTAGCAGGCACAGAGGGTGGCAGAGCTTGCCTGGCACATGACAGCAGAAGCACTGAGATGTGTCCCAGAAAAATGAGCAGGTGGAAACCTACCTGAGACATCCAACAGAAACGTCCCATTTAACTTCTCTCCTCCTTTAGTTTTTTGAATCAGTTTCTTTGGTTGGAAAGTATAAGCAAGGACAGTGTGCAGAGAAGTAGGCAAACTCCTCCTCTTCTTCCACCTGCTCTGCATTAGCACCACAGGACGACTCTCATGGAGCCCTTCCCGTCCTGCAGCTTTCTTCTTCCTTCTTCCTTCTTTTTTCTTTCTTTCTTTCTTTTTTTTTTTTTTTTTTTTTTTTTGTGTGTGTGTGTGTGTGTGAGATGGAGTCTCACTCTTTTGCCCAGGCTGGAGTGCAGTGGCACAATCTTGGTTCACTGCAACATCTGACTCCCGGGTTCAAGCAATTCTCCTGCCTCAGCCTCCCCAGTAGCTGGGATTACAGGCACATGCCACCACGCCTGGCTAATTTTTGTTTTTTTTTTATCAGAGATGGGGTTTCACCATGTTGGCCAAGCTGGTCTCGATATCCTGACCTCAGGTGATCCACCCACCTGTGCATGAAAGATTTGTTTTATGGAGAACCTCATAATCATCATTAAGGGAGGTTTTGGAAGAAGGGCAAATGTCCTTCAAAATGCTATTTCCCTCACCATTCACATCGTAGAATGACTGACATCATTCTCAGCTCTGGTGGGGAGAGGTGGACAGAGGCAGCAGCACTGTCCCCTGAGGCCTGGGGTTGTCTGTGGGGACACCCACCCAAGAAGCAGGCTGGAGCGAAGTGCCATCCATTGCCTGGATAATCTTTTGTTAGGAATCTACTGTTTTTCTCTCTTCCACAGGGGGTGACAGGTGCTTTGACAGTTTTGATGAAAGATGCAATAAAACCAAATCTGATGCAGACCCTGGAAGTAAGTGGTTTTCTTATTATATTAATTGTTTGTATTAACTGGATTGCCACACAATGTGAGCATTTTTAGCCAATATGAGGCAGGCATAGAGCATGCAATGTGCCTTTGCATGGCAGCAATGTGCTTTGCAATATCAGGCAGAAAGAGTGAGGATCTGGTTATGAACCTGTATTGGTTTGTTTAGACATTGCTATTAGGAACTACCTGAGATTGGGTAACTGACGAAGAAGGATCAGGATAACTTCTTTGTCAACCAAAAAGAAATTTAAAGTGTATTCATAGCTTCTTTAACATGAGTCGTGTGTTGGCTTAATTGACCTGAATAGAAACTTACAATGTCAAGTCAGTCTAATATTTCAGTAGGTTGTATGTTTTCTGTTTTCCCTTAATCTCATAATCATTGAGTTGTGGATTTTTTAGTTTGCTTTTTTGTTGTTGTTTTTTTGTTTCCAAGCAAAATACAGTAAATGCCAAGAAATGCTTTCCAGAAAAGCATGCTGCACTCCATTTGTACAAGGATATTATTTTTGTAAATGACATGCCCTGCTCTTGTCTTCATTGAACATAAATGTTTTGTCACGTTATCTCCATTTTAATCTAGTTTTCTAGTCACTAGTCAGACTTTTTTGATTTAGCAATTGTCTAATTCCCTACTCCTTGCTAGTGAAACCTCAGGGTTTGGGCCCAAACAGAAGCAGTTTCTGGGCACATTGAGTAGAGACAAGTGGAAGGATACAGCTAGAGGAATGGGGGACAGTGGTGTCCTGGTGAGGGTTCTAACAGTCAACACTCTGGGAAAGAAGAATTCCTGGTTATAGCATTTGCCAGTTTCCATGGTATAACTGATCCCACCATGGCCAATCCCCAGCTCCCTTTCATGTCAGTCAGCATGGGAATTGGGAGAAAATTTGTGCTGTCAAGTGGTACAAATGAGCTATTTGTCCTCAAGCTGCAGTGGGACAAAAGGAGCTGCTGGAGGTGACCAGAGGGCAAATAATGTTGGGGGAACACAGCAGCAAGGCAGGTGGAATGTCAGTCTGTTCATTCTATTCATTTAGCTGATAGAAAGCTGAGTTTGGCCAGGTGCGGTAGCCTATGCTTGTAATCCCAGAACTTTGGGAGGCTGAAGAGGGTGGATCACTTGAGGTCAGGAGTTTGAGACCAGCCTGGCCAACATGGTAAAACCCATCTCTACTAAAAATACAAAAATTTGCTGGGCGTGGTGGCATGCACCGGAAGTCCCAGCTACTTGGGAGACAGGCAGGAGAATCACTTGAACCTGGGCGGCAGAGGTGGTAGTGAGCTGAGATTGTGCCTCTGTACTCCAGCCTGGGTGACAGAGTGAGACTCTAACCATAACCTGGGGCAAATTATTTCATATTTCATCCTCAATTTTTTCCCTTGTAAAATGGTCAAAGTAGCAACAGCTAACTCAACAGAGTTATAGTGAAGATTAAATATTTATTTAAAGCATCACATGGACCAGTGCAATATATTAGGGGCTAAGAATACAGCAGAGCACTATTCAACATACCAGCCCTCTTGAACCTCCACTTCAGTGAAGGAGACAGGCAAAAGGCAAAACAGTAAACACATAGCATGTTATTTGGCGGTAAGGTCTGGAGAAGAAAACTCAGAGACCAGGAGGGGCAGAGTAACGCGGGGTGTGTGTCTGTGCCTGCCCGCCTGTTAAAGCAGTACCAGCACAGAGCTGAGTGAACCAAGGAGGTGAGCCATGCATGTGTCTTGAAGAGCATGTGGACAGAGGGTTACCTTGAGTGCAGAAGCATTGGGCAGCAATGTGCTTTGCAATCTCAGGCAGAAAGAGCGAGGATCTGGTTAGTAACCTGTGTTAGTTCATTCTTGCATTGCTATAAGGAACTACGTGAGACTGGGTAATTGAAGAAAATTGGTTTAACTGGCTCACAGTTCCACAGACTTTACAGGAAGCATGGCTGGGGAGGCCTCAGGACACTTACAATTGTGGTGGAAGTCGAAGGGGAAGCAGACAGGTCTTTATATGGCAGAGCAGGAGAGAGAGAGCAAAGGAGAAAGTGCTACCCACTTTTCAACAACTAGATCTCGTGAGAACTCACGAACATGAGAACAGCAGGGGGAAATCCACTCCCAGGATCCAGTCACCTCCCACCAGGCCTCTCCTCCAGCATTGAAGATTATAATTCCACATGAGATTTGTGTGCGGACACAGAGCCAAACCATATCAGAACCAATATGACAGAAATGGGGGAACCGGCCAGGCACAGTGGCTCACGCCTGTAATCCCAGCACTTTGGGAAGCTGGGGCAGGCAAATCCCTTGAGGTCAGGAGCTTGAGACCAGCCTGGCCAACATGGTGAATCCCATCTCTACTAAAAATACAAAAAAAAACTAGCCAGGCATGGTGGTGCATATGTATAATCCCAGCTACTTGGGAGGCTGAGGCAGGAGAATTGCTTGAACCCTAGAGGCAAAGGTTGCAGTGACCAAGATTGCACCACTGCACTCCAGCCTAGGCAACAGAGTGAGACTCTAGCTTAAAAAAAAAAAAAAAAAAAAAAGAGAGCAGAAAGAAATGAGGGGACTATTTCTGAAGGTGCCCAGTGAGGTTGCTGCCTGAAGGTGTCGTGTCCTCTGAGCTGAGGAAGGGAGGACTGAGCACCTTTAAACAGGTGCCTGCAGCCCTGGGGGAGGGGGAGGGGTGCAGGATGCACAGGTGCCAAGGCCACACCCTTCTGCTGCAGCTTGCCCTTCCCATCTTTCCTCTCTCTGATCATTCTGCCAGCATGCACATGTCCTCAGAGGTAGGCCATCTTCAAAAGTAAACAAAAACATTTCAAAAGCTTCCCACCCCCCTGCATCCTCATCTAGCTCCTGCCCGGCTCTTGTCTGTCATTGGGGTCTCCATGTTGACTGACCTTGGGTTCCACCTATCCTGACTGCCCTCATCCGGATCACTTGTCCCCCGAGACACCAAGTCTTTGTTGCCCTGCCCTCCTCAGAGAAGCTCAGCAGAGTTTGACAGCTACCCGTCTTCCTTCTGTAGCACCTGGTTCCTCTGGCCTCAGGGGTCTTTCCCACCCCAGGCCTGCTCGCTGCTTCTCAGCTTTGCTGGATTCTCTGATGACCCCTCACTTTTCTCACCCCGTTCTCCTCCAGGATTAGCCAGGTGATGACTCCCAAACTCTTGTTTGGAATCTCATGAACCTGGAATTTCAGACTTGCGGGTATGATTACCAGGAGCCACATGGGTGGGTAAAAGCCATTTCAAACTGATACATAAACTAGGACCCACCTCCCACTTCCTTCCAACCTCACTTCTTCCCTGAAACCTACCCAGTCATTCAGAGCAGAACCCCAGGATGATCCTGGAGGCGTGTTTTCCCTTCCCCCCTCCTCTCTCCATCCCTGCAGAGTCCTCTGTGATTACGTGACTGCTCTGTCCACAGTGCTGGATGCCTCCTTCCTAATTCAGCTGCCAGCGTGCCCCACCTGCAGCAGTGCAGCAGCCTCCCACCTAGTCTCTCTGCTGCTACTCTTTTCTTCCAAAATGCTCCCCCTCCTCAGCAGCCATAGAGATTGAAACCTAATTAAGTCCTGTTGCTTTCCGGCTGAGAGTCCTTCCATGATTTACCCATGTTTCCACCCTACTCTGAAAAGCTCCTGGGACCTGGCCCTGGCTTCTTCCCTCTCCCTGTCCCTTATCCTCATCTCTGATCCTCTGCCCAGCCCCTTTGCATGGCTGACACCACTACCTGGGTCACTTCCTGATATCTGCATGTCCAGCTCCTTCACCTTCCTCAGGTCTCATGTCTCATAAGCATCAGCTGCTCAGGGAAGCCACAGGAAGATGCAGTCCCCACCCCTCTGTGCTGCATTCCAGTGCATGGCAGAATGCTGAGAGCTTCCTATTTCCTTGTTTTCTGGATTTCTCCTCCCACCAGGATGAGAGCAGGACCTTTTCCATCCTTCACCGCCGCATCTCCAGCTTCTAGAAAGTGCCTGACACCTATCAGAGGCTCAGTAAAGACTTGTTGAATACTTAAATGAATGCTTATTATATTTACTACATTCTCCTAAAAATACATATATTTTTTTTCTATAGCCATGTGTCACTAAAAAAATACCTGTTTATTAATAAGTTAGGCCAGGTGTGGTGGCTCACTCCTGTAATCCCAGCACTTTGGGAGGCCGAGATGGGCAGATCACGAGGTCAGGAGTTCAAGACTAGCCTGACCAACATGGTGAAACCCTGTCTCTACTAAAAATACAAAAATTAGCTGGCCATGATGGCGCATGCCTGTAATCCCACCTACTCAGGAGGCTGAGGCAGGAGAATCGCTTGAACTAAGGAGGCAGACGTTGCAGTGAGCCGAGATCATGCCACTGCATTCCAAGCAAGACTCCATCTCAAATAAATAAATAAATAAATAAGAGAAAAAATATGAAGATATGTGATATTCCTTCATAACACTTCTCCCTCACAGATGAATACTTACTATTTGGGATCATAATTTTCTTGTTTTGAATAATTCTCTATTAGAAATCACTCACACTTCTGAGATATTTCCCACTCCGAAAACCTGAGAAATAGAAAGTGTAGCTTCCATTTAACAAATGAGTTAGTGGACTGGGTTGTCCAAGCAGTTCTTATTGCCTTCACTTTTATTTTCTTCTTAAGGGTTCTGAATCTCTGATGTATCAGCACAGAAATAACAGGTTTAGCTTACATTACAAAAAGTACTCAGGCGGGGCACAGTGGCTCACTCATGTAATCCCAGCATTTTGGGAGGCCAAGCCGGATGAATCACCTGAGTTTAGGAGTTTGGGACTGGCCTGGTCAACATGGTGAAATCCTGTCTCTACTAAAAATACAAAAATTTGCTGTGCGTAGTGATGTGCACATGTAGTCCCAGCTCGTGAGAAGGCTGAGGCAGGAGGATCACTTAAACCCATGAAGTGTAGAAGTGAGCTGAGATCACGCCACTGCACTCCAGCCCGGGTGACAGAGTGAGACCCTGTCTCAAAAAAAAAAAAAAAAGTGCTCAAACTGTTGATATTCTGGAGCCCTAATCTTGGCTTAGCTATTAGTTTCCTTTGTGGCCTTAAAGAATTGCCTTAGCCCTCTCTGGGCCTTAACTTTCTGCGTGAGAAGTTGGCCTCTTCTTGCTCTCAGCATTATCTGATTCTGTGATTTCTAGCTAAAGCTACATTTATATAAATATATAAAGTGTTTTTGCAAAGTAAAGAGTAGAATAGTGGTTATCAGAGGTGGAGGCGGGTTGGAGAAGTTGACTAAATAATGCAAAATTCCAGTTAGCCTGGGTGACAGAGCAAGACTCTAATCTCAAAAAAAAAAAAAAAAGGTGTTGTATATTTTTTAAATGTTAAAATTTAGATTTTAAATGTTCTCTCTAGAAAGAATGATAAATCTGTGAGGTGATGGATATGTTGGCTAGCTTGATATAATCATTCCACAGTGGATACATACGTTAGATCTGTACCTTGTTCTCCATAAATATGTACAATTATGATTCATCAATTAAAAATAAAAAATGCTTTTGCTAATAGGTTTAGTATCCTGAAAAATACGAGAGTGGCTACAAAGGATAAAAGTCCTTTGCTTTTCTAAAGTAAAATGTTGCTGAGGACCTTGTAGCTGTTTGGAGTGGTTGTCCCAGGAACAGCAATGTGCTTGTGCGGATTCAGCCCCCACCGCCTGTGCCCCCGGAGACCCATGCTGGGTGCCTCTCAAACAGATGGCAGCCTGCAGCTGAGCAAAGCCACCTGCCCATCCAGGGTGGAGCCTGTAACCTTGTCCTTGTTAAGCTTTGACCAGCTCCACTAGCTTACTATGGGCAAGGACATCAGAAGACCAGCAAGGTTAGGAGGTGTTAGAGACATAAGCTTTTTAAAATATGTTTTCTTCAGAACACTTAAAAGGTTTATCTAGATAGAAGTGAGAAAAGACAGAGATATAAACACCAAACATACATATTTATGTATCTACAAATATGTGTCCCTGGGTTTTATTTATTTATTTTTGAGTTGGAGTGTTGGTCTGTCACCCAGTCTGGAGTACAGTGGCGTGGTCCCAGCTCACTGCAACCTCCACCTCCCAGGTTCAAGCGAATCTTGTACTTCAGCCTCCCAAGTAGCTGAGCTGGGATTTCAGGAGCACACCACCACTCCCTGCTAATTTTTGTGTTTTTAGTACGGGTTTCACTGTGTTGGCCAGGCTGGTCTCGAACTTCTGACCTCAGGCGATCCACCTACCTCAGCCTCCCAAAGTGCTGGGATTACAGGCGTGAACCCTCACACCCAGCCTCTGTTCCCTGGGTTTTGTAGTCCTGGGTTCATTTCCATATACATCTGTGTGACCCGATCAGGGCCCTATATTCTCCCTCCTGAGAACTTTTGGGAGAAAGGTAAATAGAGCGGTATAATAGCTTGTGCTAAATCTCTTAAAAAAGAGAAAACAAAGAAAGGTAAACAGAGAACTCACATGGTGGTTTTGATTATTCTCTCCCTTTTTCATTCTCACGAGTTTTCTTTCACGTCTCTTCTTCCTGTTTTGTTCACCTTCTCATCTTTGAAATGTGGTTGGCTAACAGCCCGTCATGCTTCATGGGAATTTTCTGTGGCTCACAGCCCCCCACTCTGACCCTTACTCCCTGCCTTCCTTCATGTCAGTGAAAGGGCAGCCTGTGTTTTCATAGGTGGAGCCAAGGCTTCATATGCACAGACCCCAGTGGCCCTGGCTAGGATATGAATAACACCAGACCATTTTAATGCCTGCAGATGAATTCTTTTCAGACAGGGGTAAGGTCTATCCGAAAAGGAAAAAGTGCAGAAATGGCATTAAAAATGAATATAGACAGATTTTGTTCAAATAACTAAACTCTAAAATTTTTGACGATTCTCTTAGTTTATTTTGTCCTTTTTATTAATGTGAATTATAGTAGCATTTTACTATGAGTGAAATTTTTCTTTGCTTTTGTTATCTTTTTTCTTTTTATTTGTTTTTGCTTCTGTTACCTTAATAGTTAACAGATTCCTTCTTTTTGTTTGTTTGAGATGGAGTCTCCTGTCGTACAGGCTGGAGTGCAGTGGTGTGATCTCACTGCACACCTCCGTCTCTCAGGTTCAAGCGATTCTCCTTCCCCAGCCTCCCGAGTAGCTGGGATTATAGGTGTGTTCCACCACACCGGGCTTATTTTTGTATTTTTAGTAGAGATGGGGTTTTGTCATGTTGGCCAGGCTGGCTTTGTTCTCAAACTTCTGAACTCAGATGATCCACCTGCCTCATCCTCCCAAAGTGCTAGGATTATAGGTGTGAGCCACTGCACCTGGGCATTTAACAGGTTTCTAACATGTAAGACAATTAAACAAGAAAGACTTAAATGGAACTTTTAAAAATTGAAAGGACACTTTTATTATTAAAATATAAACAGCCTATAAATGTAATTATTCTGTGACTAGCTTGCCACAACTCCTGCCTAATCTTAGCTCACGGCAACCTCCACCTCCCAGGTTCAAGCATTTCTCCTGCCTCAGCCTCCTGAGTAGCCGGTATTATAGGCGTGTGCTACCACACCTGGCTGACTTTTGTATTTTTAGTAGACACGGGGTTTCACCATGTTGGCCATGCTGGTCTTGAACTCCCGACCTCAGGTGATCTGCCCATCTTGACCTCCCAAAGTGCTGGGATTACAGGTGTGAGCCACCTTGCCTGGCCAATTATATTGATTTTTATGGTTATCCTTTTCTTGAATGGAATCTTTTCTTGATTAAAAAAATAAATAAATATAGCTCTTATACCATCAGGGTTTAATTCCATTGTTTTTAAAAATATAGTGCACAATAACATAAAATAAGGTAAATAATGTATTTCATGGCCACTGAGACAACTAACAAAATGGCCTAACAGTATTTTGGAAGGAAATGATTGTATTCTCACAGTTTTGTCTCTCAGGTTCAGAATTAAATGTAGAATAGCATTTTTCTAGAATCCATAGGGAATTTGGTCCTTTGATTGAGTCAGGGTGTTTTGACTGTCTTTGAATGATTTATGCCTTAAATATGCAGTGTTAATAAAAGCTTTCCCACGTTATTTGCCCCAAATTGATCTTGGTTTCTGTGCTTCCATTTGTCTTTTGGGATTTTGATTTACTCTTCCATTTCTCTAGGGGACACCTGTATTTGTGCATGCAGGCCCGTTTGCTAACATTGCTCATGGCAACTCTTCAGTGTTGGCTGATAAAATTGCCCTGAAACTGGTTGGTGAAGAAGGCTTCGTAGGTAAGTTATTTCTTTTAAGTTTAGTTGTTGTTGGATATTGAAGAAATCTTAAGGATGCTGACTAGATTGGAGTGATATCTATACGGACATGAAATCTATTCTTTCAGGCCCCCTCTTTCATAGATGGTCTCAGTAATGGAAAAGCACTAAGGTCTGGTCTGTACTCATGAAATTCTGCTTGTGCTTGAATCGTAGATTCTGGTATCAAGCGCATATGGGTTTGAGTATAAGCTCTGACTCTTGCAAACTGAGTGACGTTGAACACATTTAAATTACTACTGAGCTTTGGTTTTCTGGTGTGTAAAATTGTGATAAAAATATTGTGTTAAACCCTTTAGGCTTTTTATGAAAACTAAATGAGATATTTTAGTCATTCAGCAAATGTTGTTTGAGAACCTACCACTTAGAAGGCATGCTCCTCAGAGCTAGGGATCCAGTGGTGAGCAAAACAGACAGGCACAGTGGCACGTACCTGTAATCCCAGCTTCTCAGGAAGCTGAGGCAGGAGGATTGCTGGAGCCCAGGAGTTCACGTCCAGCCTGGGCAGCATAGCAAGATCCTGCCTTTGTGAATAAATAAAAATTAGAACACCAGCCTTAGTCCCTGCACTTGTGGAGCATACTGTCTAATGGTAATTTAATAAGAGAAAGTGCTCATTGACTGTCAGCCATTACTACCCTTACTATGTAGTACTGATAACTTGAAGTCCTGGGTTTATTTCCATATACAGTTTCTCCTTGTTTTTTGCGAGCTAATGTAGGAGAGATACCCAACCAGTAGACTTAGAAACGTTCACTGGTAGAACTGTACAACTTTTGCTGCTGTCAAGCTCTTTGTAGAACCTGTTCTTCTTTGGCTTTTCTTGCATATTCCAGCTAGAAAGAAGGGGCAGCTCTCTTAGGTACTTAGTCAGTGCCAGCCCCAGTTCCACCCATGATATTAAGGCAGCAAGGAAACAAAGACAAAACCAAAACAGGCATTTTTGGAAGAGTCCCTTCATCTGACTTATGAGGAATTGCATTGGCAGATTTCTCATGCTAACAGATAATTCCCCTTAACCATATGAACGCTTATAATCAGGATAGCAATCTCTTCTTTCGCTCTTATCATCAGCCTCTGATCAAACCCAAAAGAGTTGTTTTATTAGAAAAGAGTGTGCTGGACAAAAGAACTTAGCACTGCATTTTAGGCTCAGATATCACAAAGTTCATTCAGGGTTATTGAGACTCTTAAGAATTCCTTGTGGACAGGCAGTCATGATCAGATGAGGCTTGATGGAGTTCCATTCCTCCATGATCTGTATTCTGCAGCTCTCATGTACTTTGCTGCTTCGATAGCAAATCCACTGCAAGAGTGGCTAACCATGCTGTCTAAGTGAATGTGCTCAATTGATCACTGCCTAATTGTAGAACTAATGGACCAGGAGGCTGGGTGAGGCCGGGCATCAGAAAGTTGGGTGCTTAAGTGAAGTGGTGGTTCTGATGCATCAGCTCTGCAAATAAAGTCACTTCTAGAAGGAAGCACTCTATTTTATGCTGACAGAGATCTCTGCGTGTACCAGTTCTTACTTTGTCAAACACATATTTATAAAGTACATGTTATCATGGCAGAATATTTTTCAAGATATAAACTGATGATGGATGCAAAAGAAACAGGCTGTCTGTGTGATCTTGAAGAAGCCATTAGCCTCTCTGGGTGTGTCCCTTGTAGGTTATCTCATCTGAAAAGTGAGAAGTCGGACCAGATGAGGAGTTGGATATGGATAGCCATGGACTCAGAGGTAGAAGCTGTGGAATTGGAGCCCTGACTGATAGTGTGTTTTACTTTCTCTAGGGCTCAATTTTTTATTTAATAAAGAGAGAATATCTGTGTGACTTCCAGTATTTTAATGAGTAGTATCAACTGAGAAAGTGCTTCATAAAACATGAACTATACACAGGTCAGCACTTGTGTTAATTCTTTCTATGATCCCGTCTAGTCTAAGATGCTGTAAGTGGGGGAATTTTTCATGAGGATGGAATCTGTCCATTGCCAGATGGTTCAAAGGGCCAGCCCTAAAGTCAGGTTTTACCTCAACTGCTTGCAAGTCACAGATAACACTGGGCACATTAACCCTTCTCTTCCTTGGCTTCCTTACCTGTAAAATAGGGCTTTGGATAGGGCTTCCCTCTCGAAAGGACTTGGTAGGTTTGAGAAGTATCAGTGAGATCATGCAGGTCGGGCGGAGTCCTGGCGCCTGACACTTGGTAAGACACAATTCCTCTTAGCCGCCCCTGGTTGTCATTGTTGCCCCCACTATTGATACATTATTGATAGAGGTCACATTTTCTTTTTTCTCTAGATCTTTTTTTTTTTTTTTTTTTTTTGAATGATTTTGTTTATAGTTGTTATAAAATACACATAACATAAAAGTTACCATCTTCACCATTTTTGAGCGTACATTGAGTAGTGAAGTACACCCACATTGTTGTGCAACCAAGCTCTAGAACCAAAGTCCTGTGCCCATTAAATATTCCTCTTCCCCTGCCCACAGCTCCTGGCAGTGCCCTTCTACTTTCTGTCTCAATGAAGTTGATTCCTGAATACCCTATGTGTGGAATCATGCCGTATTTGTCCTTCTGTGACTGACTCATTTCACTTAGCATAATGTCTTCAAGGTTCATCCATGTTGTAGCGAGCGTCAGAATTCTCTTCCTTTTAAGGCTGAATAATATTCCATCATGTGGATAGACCGTACTTTGTTTATCCACTCATCCTTCATTGGACATTTGAATTGTTTCCACCTTTTGCTCTTTTGAATAATGTTGCTGTGAACATAGATGTATAAATATATTTTAATGTCTGAAAACCGTGCTCTATTATGTCTAAATATGTGATGGCAGTGACATATATTCATAAATATGTACCATGGAACTCTAGCCCTGTAACGTTGAACTCTCACGAAGGTGGTGTGTCCATCCTGTGACTCCATTGGAATGCTGGCGGCAAAGCCAGTATATGGGACAGTGGGAACGGGGCGTGGTCAGGAGACAATGTTGCTGGCTGCACAGGCAATGTATTGGACAGTGGGAATGGGGCGTGGTCAAGAGACGCCGTTGTTGGTGGCAAAGCCCATGTATTGGACAGTGGGAGCGGGGTGTGGTCAGGAGACAGTGTTGCTGGCGGCACAAGCGGTGTATTGGACAGTGGGAATGAGGCGTGGTCAGAAGACAGTTCTTTGCCCATTGCTTGGTCAAGCCTGCACTGTGGGTCTGGTTCATTCCTTGCCCTTGGATGAAGTTTGTAATAGTTACAAACTTATATACTTTTGTAAGTTTATAAAACTATTGTAAACTGACGTTAATATCTAGTCCCTCTAACATACACATTTTTTAATGGGTCTGGTCACTTTCTATCATAAGAACAGTCCCTAAAATTAAAAATGTATATCCAGTTTTCTATCAAAACCAAAAACTCCAAATGCCACTCAGACCTGAGCTTCTCTCCTCCCTCATCTGGGCCTCCTCTGGCTGACAGTGGGAAGGGGAAGGTAGCTTTCTGTCACACTCGTCTTGCATTTAGGCTGGCCCTGACCCCTGTTAGGTTGAAGCTTTGGCGTGAGATGGTGCCCATGTGGCCTCTGCCACCAAGGCCCTCACACTTTTGGCAGAAGCCCTCTGAGCATTACTTCATTTAGACTTTCCTACCTCTGGTTCCACACCTGGTCTCAGGTACCACAGATCTCTGACCTCTAGCTGGGGACATAACTTGAGCCACTTGTGGCTTAAGAAAAGGGGGAAGTAGGGAGGCCAAGGAGGGTGGATCACCTGAGGTCAGGAGTTCAAGACCAGCCGGGCCAACATGGTGAAACCCCGTCTCTACTAAAAATACAAAAAAAATTCGCTGGGCGTGGTGGCAGTCACCTGTAGTCCCAGCTACTCAGGAAGCTGAGGCAGGAGAATTGCTTGAATCCAGGAGACGAAGGTTGCAGTGAGCTGAGATCACACCATTGCACTCCAGCCTGAGCAACAGAGAGAGACACTGTCTCTAACAAAAAATAAAAATAAGAAAAGGAGAAGGAGGCGACTTCACATCCTCTTCATTGGGTACTGGGAGGGGAGGTGGATGTGGCACAGATTACTTTCTTTGAAGAAATTCTTCTCTGGGTTCTAACCTGTGAACCCTTTTGAAGTCTCAGTGGGTTAAGGCATGCAAAATCTGTTTCAAACTGCTTTACAAACCCTGCCAGGTCAGCCAGTACCATCCTTTGGCACATGAGCAAATTGACACCGATTCAAGGCCCGAAACAAAAGTGAGACAGAAAGAGCTTCATTTCGACATCCTTCTACAGAAGTTGAATGCAGTCGGCGCATCTGAGGTGTATCTGTAGTCTGAGCAGGAATTCATGTTCTTCAAAAAGTTGTTTATAGTGGACTATCTTTCTGACCTCATAATAGAGAAAGATCTCTTAAAATATGAAAAGCTCAAACTGAGAAGAAAAATATTGATAATTTGGGGTGCATTAAAAAGTAAACTGTATGTGATCAAAGATACAAGATTAAAAAGCAAGTGACAGATTGGAAGGAAATGTTTGCAAAGATAATTAACAAATGATTAGCATTGAGAATATATAAAACACTAAAGACTGATAAGCGAAGACAAATAATCTAATAGAAAAATAGGCAGAGGATCTAAAAAGTTGATTCGCAGCAAAAGAGCAATCCGGTGGAATTTCTAGGTAGGACTGAAAATGAACAAATATTTGAGCAGTTTCACTTCTGTGTGTACTCTGGAAAAGAAGTAATTGAAAATGTATTTTAGTCCTTTGAAATAGTTGACTTCATTGCCCATTTATTGAGCATGTATTGAGCTTCTGCTATATGTCAAGTACTATCAGCTAGGAACTGGTAATCAAAGATGAGTAAGATAGGTTTCTTGCCCTGCAGTAATGTATGATGTGACATGAGAGACAAGAACTTCAGTGGTAAGTACAATGCACTTGATTAAGTACTATATTAGCT